TTATAAAAGAATTCTCTAAACAAATTTTGTTCTTATCCTAAGTAAAGCGCTGTGAAAGTGCCCATTTATATGTTTCTGGTTATATTTATATTAAATTTGGGTACTTTTCCGTTTTGCCGGCGCAAGCGATAAAGTCGCCAATAATGGTACAACCGATGCCAAACGGAATATTCTCGCTGGTAACCTTTTACGCCTCATTTTCAAAACAAATGGCAGCTTTTTCTTATCAGATTGATTGTTTCTTTTAATACTGGCATATAATTACATAGAATTTTTATCAGATAGTTCAGTTTTATGTCTAAGGACATTTTCGGTAATTAAGTCAATTAGGATGCAATCACAGCGCTTACCCGAAGCCGAAAATATAGAAAAGGTAAAGTCAAGGGTTAAATTCATCAATTCTAATGAGAATGCATTAGCGAAGTAAAGCACTGCAGTTTTACATAATTTCTGAGTAAGCTATTCGTACGAATTGGAATATTTCTTGCATTTAAAACTTGTGTTCCAAATTAAGATTTTTAACTTGAAATTATGTAGATAATTACTGAGAGCATTATATTTTTGTAGAGTAGTATCCGTGAGATGAGATCTCTTGGGGTCACGTGGATTGAACCGGCGAATCAGGATGTTGAACCATGAAAGCATAGTAAATTCTTAAATTAATATCTTTTCACAAATTTATTGTCTTTATTTATTGGCTTTTTATAAAATTTTAAGCGATATTAAAATGTTTATGCTTTCAAAAAAAGAATTCTTAGAACTAATTTTTTTAATATTTTTTATGTGTATACTGTATGTTGTCGCCAATAAAGTCTGCATGGCGAGATTTGCGCCGGCGAAACGGAAAATTATCTAAATTTGTTAAGCTCCATTGATAGTTTAAAGGACATTTTTTTTTTCATTGCTTAATGTACTAAAACAGACGTGGACAAACGTAATCACATCAAGCGGCGCTTATTGAAAACAAACCTTTTTGACGTTTTTTGTTAATTAAGACTGATTAAAACATTTTCCCATAGAAAATAATTATTCTACAATTTAATTTTGCACAGAAACATGTGTTTTGCATTTTGTTCCATTAAAATAAAAAAAGAACTTGGTTAGCTTTATAACTGAAATTTGTAAAGTCATGAAGTGGACAGCATTTGAAAATAAATTTAGTGGGAATAACCATAAACAGAAGGCGAGACAGAGACTGACGAATTCTCCTTCAATATTAAAAAGTTAAAAAAAATCATTCTTCTATGGCAATATTTACGTAAGCTGCACAGATAATTAATTGCATGATTACTCGACGCAACATAACAGTAACAACATTTTGGAAAAAAAAAACTCCGCTAAAAATGTTTTTGACTTCAAAACGACTTAAAAATACATTTACCTGTTATTAACCTAAAATGATCAGATTTTTTTCGAAGCCAGTCCGAGACAAGACAACTTTGGAACTACTAAAGAAATGTCTGAAGCTTAATGATGTCATTTCAAAAAAAAAAAAAAAAAAAAAAAAAAAAAAATTAATACATTAAATAGGGATTTTTATATCAGTTATTCGTATATAATGGTAAAACCTTTCAATGACGGCAAATAATGTTTTGTTTATTCAAAAACCGTCATCTCACGAAACTAAATATTGTTTTGTTGTGAATGTAGTCTTCTTAAATAAGTAGAAAATGTGTCTGATATGACAATATCCATGTTTGTTTACATGCAGAAAAATAAATCGGTCACTTCAGAAATGGTTACTGCAGGAAGCTTCACTGCATTTGTTATGAAAATACGTACCATACTGTTGCCTTTGTAAAGTTAACAAAGCTCACTTACTAATAGGTTTACCAGACGTCTTGACCCGGACTCTCAAGGTTTGAGGGTGTCATCTCTGCGTCCCGGCTAGTTAGTCATTGTACCTCGGTTATTTGGTAAAATTTTAGAAGTGCCAAATATACACAATTAACATCAGTTCAATTTTACAAGAGTTTACAACATTTTATGACAAATTGTCTTTCTTATTTGTATAAACAACCGTGAATTAACATTGTCTGAAATAGAAGCTTAAGGTGAAAAAAATTAATGTATCGCAAACAGTAGAGTTCTTAGGATTTTAGTTCTGAACAGAACATGCGAAAAATTTGCAGTACTCTCGCCGTGATTCGAACATTGGATTTACCGACTGCTAGCCGGCCGTGTTATCCAATTACACCAAGATGTCATGCGATAAAGAGGTAAAAAATTTTAAAAATACAATAAACATAGATTAACTGTTTGATGAAGCAATAAGTGCAAAAGCTTTTTGGTCAGGTAATTATGAAATTTGGAAAGGTAAACGTTATGAAGAAAAATCGATACAACTTTTCTGTCATTTCAGTGGAAAAAAAACATTTCATTTAATAATCTTGTTGAAGTAAAAGAATACATTCTCAATATGCCAGGCACATCCGCACCAGTCGAAAAAATGTCTTGCTAATGAATATCATGTGGTCTGAAAAAAAAGAGGTAAAACGGTCAAGCCGTAAAAGTTTTATTAAGCTGCAATATTAAAAGTGAACTAAATTTGATGCCTTTAAAAATAACAATAAGAATTTTTAAAGAATGTTCACATTAGTAACAAATAACGGGTGGCCATAATTAAACTGACAAGGCTCACAGTGTTCTGTAGCGCGATCTATTTGCGAGAATGACGCCACATTTTGTATGAAGATTAAACAAGACGGGGGACGAAGGATTCCGCGAAAAAAAATAGTTCCAAAAGTCACCGCTAGGGGAATATTTGGCGCTGTGTAATAGAGTGTTAACAAATGCAAGTCAATACGGAAATTACCTTTTATTTTGCATTCAAATGAGGTTCAATGTGGCTGCCGTTGTTGTGGACCACATATTGCATTCTGTGCACAGTATGCACAACAGCAGAAAGTAACATGTCTGCAGGAATCTCCCGTACAGTCCGTGATATATTATCCTTCAACGTAGCCAGGTCCTGGACCACTCCTTGATAGACCTTGGACTTAAGGTAACCCCATAGGCAGAAGTCGCATGGGGTAAGATCAGGCGACCGAGGTAACCATGCAGTTGGAAAGTAGCGGCTAATGACTCTTTCTGTTGTGAATTTCTGTCGTAGCATCTGTTGCACCTGTACAGCAACAAGTGGAGGGGCTCCATCTTGCATGAAAATGATTTCCCCCAGGCATTGTCTTTGCTGAAGTGCCGGAATAACAAAGCTGTTCAACATGTGGCGATATTTCTCTCCGGTAACAGAACAGGTTTCCGGTCCTGTCGGGGTAATGTTCTCATAGAAGAATGGACCTACGATAAATTCCGCTGTGAACCCACACAAAACCTTTGTTGAATGTAAGGGAATTGCTGTGACTGCATGTGATGTTTGTCATCCCAAGTTCGGCAGTTCTGGGTATTCACAGTTCCATTGAGGTAAAAGTGGGCCTCGTCTCCCCATAAGATCATCCATCACGGCCAAGCATCATCCACCTCCATTCTGGCAAGAAAGGTGAAGTCAAATTCAATTGCTTATCATGGTCGGGGTACAGTAACTCCAGTACACGGCTGATCTTGTACGGATAGAAAAGTTGATAATCTTTCGTAACATTTTCCATATCGTACTGTAAGGCATATTACATATTCCATAAGGCCATATCCATAATAAAAAGGTAATTTTATTTCGTATTAATTTGCATTTATTAACACTCTATTTTCTATTACACAGCACCAAATATTCCCCTAGCGGTGAACTTTTGAAACTAATTTTTTTTTCGCGGAATCCTTCGTCCCCTCGTCTGTGTAATCTTCCTACAAAATGTGGCGTCATTCTCACAAATAGATCGCGCTACAGAACACTGTGAGCACTGTCAGTTTAATTATGGCCACCCGGTACTAATAATTTCTTAATAATAAGGTATATTCAGTTGAGTTACTAAAATTTTCTTTTAACTCCTAGTTACTTTTTTAACAACTCTATTATTTGGCCTTTTCAATCACAGATACTTATTTTAATAGGCTTTATTTTATAATGTGAGATTTTACTCAATGTTATCCCGGTTGGAATAAAATATGCTCCGTTTTGAGTAAAATATGTCATGGTAAGTATAGTTATTACATTTACGGGCTTCAGAAATATACAACTGCTCTGAAAATGGAAAAATTCTGTTTCCGTTTTACTAAACTTCAATTTTACAAAAGAATAGACATTTAAGTTTGCTAGTGTTTCTCTTCTTTATAAATTCAGTACGTTACTGAATAAATTTTCTGTAGCAAACTCTCCTTTGTAAAGATATTTTGTGGCAAATAATTAGTAAATAACTCTCACATGTCAAAATACTTTTTTTTTTATATAATTGTTGACGGATAACTCCTTGCCTATTTATTTCTGTAACCGTTAAGGGTTTCTTTACTATTTTTCCATTTTACAAGGTTTTTCCAAAATACAAGATTTTAAATTGTCTGATTGATGCATTTCAATGGATGACTGATACACTTATCATACAGATAATTAAATTTGGCATTCATTTCTTCGTTCAATTCTAGAACAAAGTGCATTTGGAATGCAGCATAAAATTCACTTTAAATTCACTTGGAATTCACCATGCCTAGTCATTTTAAATTAAGCTGCTCACCAAGCGGAACCCCGAGTTACTTCTTAGGGAACATAAGAGTTCCGGGGGGGGCGGTTTATAAGAGGAATGTTGACACAGATGATGGGAGCGCAGTACAAAACCAGTATCAGTTCCTTACACCTTGAGTCCATATTTTCATTGGATTTTAATTTTGCCTAAATGAATAAAATTCATCTAATCTTATATTCATGACGTCAGATTTCGAATTCACCCAACTCATCACGAGTTCTGTCTGCAGTGTCGCAAAGTTACGAAATTGTACAAATATATCGTTGATTAGTATCATCACAGAGATAAGATCGAACCTGATCACATTAGAGATGTAAACAAATTATTTTCCAAATCGAGTTATTACGTTGTTGGAAAGTCGCAACGTCAAAATGTAAATATTTTGGTACATATATATGCACACATACACAAACGTACTCATATACACCTGTGGACGAATACGAGTGTGCTTACATTTTTCGAGCTTTGGCAGTAGGTTTTGGATTGTGTCTAACTTGTATATAGTAAGTTATACGTATAAATTTACTTTTTGAGGGTTAGGATCTGTATTGAAATTGTTTTATCGTTATTTAAGATATATATGAAAAATGGTAATCCCTTTAATGTAAACAAATGGAAACAAACAACGTAAAGCAGAGCAAATTGTTTGATATTATCGTTTTACTTGCAAGCATCCAAGGTTTTAATATTTTCACGTAAAACACTAAGTATATAATGTATGATTTGTGAGATTTTTTACAGTATATCTTTTTTAGTGTTAAGAATATGTCTCTTAATTAAGCAAAAATTTTGTTCAAAGATTGTTTTATTTATTAATTAATATATTAATTAATGTACTATATTATTAATATTATTAACTGTATATCATATATATATATATATGCAGTCTGATACGACGTTCTTTGAAAATTGAAATTTTCAGGGCTTTCAAACGAAGCTTTTCCAACTTGCGCTAAGATGGATTCTCTTAACTATCTAGAACAAATTCTAACTGTCATTTTATTCATTAACTAATGCATAACTATTGTATCAAAAAAATTAGAGTAGGAATTTAATCGCGGGTCAAATTTTAGCGTTGCGTTTTGGGAATTTTAGAAAATTTTCTCCGATGACTTAAAATTCAAATTTTCTGCGATCAATTAATTATGTTTAAAAATTTTAATCTGTTCTGTTATTTTTAGCTTCCATTATCTATTTTACTGTTTTTCTTATTTTGACAGTTGTAATATTTATGTTAAGTAAATTAATTAATATATTAATAATATTTACTTAGAATGTGAACTAGAAATATTTTGTAAAGTTTCTTAATCATATATTTAAGTCAAAACTTTGAGTCACAAATTATTTAACTTTAGTTTAGTTGAACTGAGTTTAAATTCCTTAAAAACTGAGAATTTTAGCTTGACTTCCTTGAAATATGACAACATTAACTTGAATTATTTGAAGCATAATTTTAGCTTGAACTGCCAAAGGAGTTCGTTCCATTATATGTGGGGAAAATTAAGTATTTGAAAATTGCATGCACCTCTATTGTCAGCCAGAGACAAACATCTTAAAAAACAGTAGCGTATTTGATTCTGATCAATTTAAATCAGCGGATGTTTTAGAAGATGACGATGATTTTCTTGTTTCTTTAGATATTTTTAGATGAGAATGCATCACTGCATGATTTTTTTTATATAAAATTAATGTAAAAGAATTATACATTTAATCAAATCTACTAAGATTTCTGCAGTACGAAAAACGTCATCTGCCAAAGTTACAAATCGTCTCTTATTAGATTATACCCACAGGAAGAACATATATCCAATTATCTTTTTCTGCATTTTCAAGTTGGAAGGAGTTTTTAATTTTTTCCAATCCAAATATAAATGGTACTTGGAACTCTGGAATCTTTCACTTGAGACTAAAAATAAAAATACAAGAAGAAACTTTTATTTAGTACTGAAATTTTTCAACTGAAGCAGAACTTGAAAGCTGCATTTAATAAAAAGAAAATTTAATAAGATAGATTTTAAATGCACCTATATTTATCGAGGAGATGCAAACGGAAGATGGTTAAAGGATATGCATAATTGCAATTTAGAACCCTGACAAAGAAAATAGGCAGAGAGCCCTCGAGAGCTTTGAATTAATTTAACAAACCTATTGGCAAAGAGGTATTTGAGAAATTGTTCAAATTTAAAAAAAAATCCAATTCAAACTATGTGCTAAGAGTTATTTCAAGAACTTATACAAAGAAAGTTTAAGGATAATATAAATAAAACCTAAGGATTTATACAAATAAAATCGGTGAAACAGTCACAATTACCACAATATGATTTTGGTGATCCATGTGAATTGAAATTGTAATGGCGTTCTAAATCATTTTTATACTGATTTCTTTAATGAATGCTTTTATGAACAGTCAATAAAAAAGATCTTTCCAAAGTTTCCTCCTTTCCATGAACAGTTAATAAAACTAATCCTAAAAGTTTATGCTAAAATGTTTAACTAGTTTTCGATAGTATTTGAAAAATTTGAATTACGAAAAGGCTTGAAAATTCAAGTTTTCAGTTATTATTACTACTGCTATTATGGCAAAGCACGCTAGAACACTCTGCCTATCAGGAGGGATTCCTTCAGCCTTTATGCAGGATTTCCAATCGAGTTTTTAAGTACTTTTTAATATTAGGAGAATTTGAGAAACCGAACACTTCATCTTTACCAAGTTTAAAAAGTGTTCCGGGTAACAGCAAACGCTTTTTAAAATAGAAAATCTATATATTCATTAAGCATTTTAAAAAACGCTGTCCATTCAAATCGAAATCAGGCTTTCATATAATTTAGTGTTAGAATCTGATCTGGTTTCTAAAGATCAGTACCAATTCAAGGAGTCTATGACATATAGAATAGGTCAAAATATCTGATGTGAACCTTATACGTCCTATTAAATTATTAATAATCATATCATTAAGAAGAAATTATATATTTATAGAAGAAAAAAGCAGATAACAAGAAAATTAGTAATGTAATTAGTAGTATGCAAGTATTTTAGAATAGGTACGTTAAATTGAGATCTTAGAGGGTAATTTCATTTCTTATACTTTCGCACCATTTACTTCTTCACAGTATACGAATACCTTCACAACCTACTTTTCAACGTTATGAGCCTTTTTATTCCTTATATGAAGAAGGGAACTATTGTAATCGCAAAAAAAAAATTAGGGTATCATATTTCGAACGAAATATTCATTTTGAATTTTTCGAAATCACTTGGACTATTTTTTGCTTGACGTCTGGGCGTCCGAGCAAAATAAAGGATTATTTTTCCAAAACGGATTGTAAAATAAATCTGAAACAGATTAAAAATGGATATTTTTGTGATTGTCTGTACGTACGTATGTATGTATGCATCTCTCCTAACTCAAAAGTGATTAACCGTAGAAAGTTGAAATTTTGCATATTGGACTGCTACAGCATCTTGTTGTGCACCTCCCTTTTTTATTGCTATCACCACTATGAAATGTATATATATATATATATATATATATAAAGAGAGAGAGAGAAAGGAACAGAGAGAGAGATAACCCCCTTACTTGACCTTTATTTTCTCAATCATTGGTCGTAGTCATATACTTCCAATCATAGAACTGTTTTAAATGACTTCTGACAGTGTCAAATAAAAAAATAATAATTTGCCTTGACGATCGGTCAACTAAGCTAGAATAATTCGAGGAGATAAGTTTAAATCAAGTTCAGGAAAAAATTCATTCCTATATTTTCGCACTATTTACGTTTCGTATAATTTAACACGCCGTACAATGAAATCATATGGTGTCCACATCTAAATTGTTTTCTTTTGTTTTTGTTCTGTTGATCGAATATTTTGCTTTTATTTATTCATATAAACGTTCCGTTTGTAGCATTAACTTGAAATTTTAAAGGCCTTTTTAAACTGAAATTAATTTTTCATTAAATATCCTGTATTGACTTTTGGAAAATATGTGGCAAATGCATTTGCTTGACACGACCATTTGTGAAAAGAGGATTCTTTTGGACTTACGCTATGTAATTCTTATTAATCGTGTGGCTAGGCATTTATATTATTACTTCATAAATTGCACAGTTTCAAGAGTGTGAGACTTGTTCCTTAGTTACAGACTTATTAGTGTAAATCCTAAGTTCCTAAAATTCTTGAAAACATGGGCAAAATTTTCACGGTTTATCCCGCTCTTGTCTCACGAATTCGGCTGTTTTTCAGCTATACATTGGCCCCATTTGTTTCCAAACTCCTGAAAAATAAAATAATTTATTTCCTAAATGACAGCATTCTGAGAACTTACTAATAAGGGTGAATGGTAAAAATTTAAAGAAATTTTGTTTTGACAAATCTTTATCTTATTTTACAGTACCAAATTTTGCCAAATCACATGATAATAAATACAAAGTAGCATAGCCCAATATTTAAGTACATAAATGTACATTGAAAAAACTCCACCAAAGATATTTCTAAGATCAGAACGAATTGTAAATAAAGTGATACCCAAGCTAATTTTAGATGATTTCGAAATGAGAACAAGCGATCTAAATAAATGGATTTTTACTATTTAAAATTAGTACACGCACAAAAAAAAAAAAAAAAAAAAAAAAAAAAAAAAAAAAGAACACCCTAAACATGTCGTGAATAAAATTCTATTGATTTCGAGAGCGATCAAACATGAGTCTCTTTTCTTCAGAAGCAACAATATTTAGTAAAGTTGGGAGGAGCAATAACCATATTTAAAGTGAAATCTATTCGCAGAACTAAGAGAAACGACTTCAGTGACATCTGAGAAGCAAAACAGTAACTGGGTGGGGAAAAACCTAAGACACATATTTTGAAATCGGTGGCAAAAAATGAATAGGAATCAATGTTATTAACTAAATAAAAAATGTTATTATGAATGTGAAAGCCTTTAAAAAAGCCCACTTAATCAACTGAAGAAGCTTTCAGCATAATGTTTTGCAGAGTCAAATTTGTGTTTTCTTTGACGCGAAATTTTAACGCTGCTTTCGTTCGTCCGATTATGTCAAACCATAATGACAAGATATTCTATAAATTCCACAATAATTAAAATTAGGTATGGGGTTTTAAGAATTGCAGAGCACATTTTACTGCTATGTTACACAAAATGATACGAAAATTGAACTTTTGAAGAATCCAAGCAGTTGCGTAACTGGCAGAAAGTTAAAATGAAATGACAGAAAGTTTATTTTGGTTTTCTTAATGGTGGCATAAGGAAAATGTTTACCATTAACAGCGAAAAAAACTTTTCTGTTAATGGCAACCGGTTTTAAGTAACTTAGTGAGAAAGAAATCAAGACAAAACTTCTGGAACACGCTATTTGTAAAAATAAAAAGAAGTTATCTACGTTTTTGGTTAATTTTAAATTCTACATCAGAGAGTTTCTCTCTCGATTAGGAATTGCACTATGTTTGGATGTTTCCAGAACAGAAATCACTTGCAAAATACAACTCTCACATAATCAATTCGCCGTGTTTATATCGTATGTAATTGTTCTGCAGGTTATCTTCTACAGTTTATTTTGCAGTTTATCTTTAGATCAACAAATACTTGATGCATGCTTTCGAAATCTACAATCCCTTTTTTATCATTATTCGAGCCGCAGTAAAAAATTTTATATGTAATTATCGCAACTGACACAACTCCCAGTTTTGCTCTATCGGTTTTATAGTGTGATGATTATAAGTAGTGGAAGCTGAAATTCGCAGACGATATCGGGGCAGCCACTATCTGTTGTATGAACACCTGCTAACATTCTGTTTTTTTTTTCTTTTTCTTTCCCGCAACTTTGCACAGAAGATTAGCTGGCAACAGGTACCACGTGATAAAGCTACGTAATGTATCAAAGCACGGATCACCTCGTCTCCAACGAGCAAGGAGTAAGTGTTGCCATTATTTGCAATTTTTTTTCATTGCTAAAATTGTATTTTCTTTTATTTATAATGAGAAGGCAATACATTTATTGAGAACAAACATTTTATGAATGATTAATATGGAATATCATTTACTGAGCTGTCCTGTTACGTTAGAGAGCTGTTTACTGCAATATCAGAAAAAGTAGATAGGTCTAAATCATGCATTCTCAGAATCTTGAAAACAAAATTCGTTTTTTTTTTAATATTGTTTGTTGAAACTTTCGTTTCTTTTAAAATTTTGTTAATCATCTAAGCGCCAAAGTCAGTTATAATTTTAAATTTTTAACATTTTTAGATTTGCAAACATTATTTAAGTAAGACTGTTATGAAAATGAACGTCATTTCGAATTATAAGCGACATAATATCCAGCTGTTATTTGCTATTTAGAAAAAATGTCTAAGATACTTTTTCGCATTATATCTGTGACACATAACATAAATCACTTGAACAAGATTTATGTTGCTGCCAATAATCGTATTTCAGGAAATTTTCAATCACACGCTTTGCTGTGATTAAAATGTTGTAATTCGAAATTAAAATGCTGTAATTTAAACTTTAGAAAGAAAACTTCACAATAATATTTTGATGATGATTTAGTGGCAATAGGAGATAGAGGTAATTATGTTGTGTAAGGTTAATTTTAACTAATTTTTATTTTTATGTTAATTATTTCCTTTATCTTCTATTTCTATCATCAGAGCAAATTAGAGCTATCATCAGAATGCAAATTAGAAAGAGTTTAAATAGTAAGTTAATTTGAAGTTTAGAGAGAAAACTGTGGCAACAGCCAGTAAGCTAATTATCCTGCAACTGCCTTCTGTAACAAATCTGCTTTTTGGTGATGGAAGTTAATATATTAATAAGTAAACTTGTAATATATTAAGAAGTATACTTAGCAAATATACTTGTTAGCGTGCAGGGTTATAGTTCACGTTAACTGTAGCGGGTTAATGAAGTCATTTAAAATTAATTATGTGGTGCATATATTTTAAATACTTAAATTACTGATAACCTGCAACTAGCATTTCTTTAGCTGTACTTCTTTAATTTTCATCGCACCTGCAAGGCGTAATTTTTAATAAAATTTTAACCAAGTTTTGTCTCCTGTTTGTGCTTTTGAAGTTTAGATTTCTTTTAAGCAGGAAGACAAAAATTTTTCTGAAAAAAGGAAAGATCAAAAAGTGTATTTTAATAGTGAACTAGTTTTAGCCTTACAATTTGTGCGATTTTTCCGCAGATAATTTCCACTCTCACTTAGAATTATCATTTTTGAATTTATTATTTTTTATCATGAGTGTTTAAAAAAGATTATTATCGTTTACATGAGTATTTAAGGAAGATTATTATTGTTTATCATAAGTGTTTAAATCGCCCTTAAACAACTGTCCTCTGATGCAAATAACTCAAAGGTAAGAAAACGTTATATTTCGATATATCGTCCTCCCCCGAATGTTTGGTATGGAAAACTTGTAGCGAAGCTGATGATCCTATGATAATTCTGTTGATGACTCTGTTCTTAAAAGAAAAGATCAACTTGCTTAATTTTTTTCTCCACTTTATTTTCGTTTAGCATGTTTCGCTTCATGAAAAGTACGAGACTGAATGTTAACTTAAATTACAGCCTCAAATGGCGCGAAGAAAATAAATTCTGTACATCAATAAAGACATTAGTGACAATCGAATTGGGGAGGGGACTGGAAACGAGCTTGAATTTCCTGTTTTTAAGTAATTAAAGTTCTTAAGTCATTCAAGTTTAAGTAAGTTGGTCTTTTTTGTGCTTGAAATGAAAAATGTCACTTGACTTGTGGGAGAAATGAGGACACAAAAGAAATAGGGAGTAGGTGCTTTTGAGCAGACTATGAGTCGGTAACATCACACGTTCAAAGAATTCTGGACTTCAAGAGCAAACCTTGTAGTACAGTAACCTTGGAAACTAGGAACGGCTAATAGGAGACTTATTTGTGGCTTCATGGTATGTAGAAGTTGCAAACATGATAGGAAACTTTACATATGACCAAAAACTAAGAACTTCCGAATTTTGTCGAAAAAATATTAATGGCCTAGTGTTATGTAGAATGGTAGAACACTGGTAAGCATAGTACTGTAAAATATATCATTGCAATATTTTTTTCATAGGATGAAATTAACTTCTATGAATAAGTGTTTATAACGAACACTACAGTAAGTTATATTATTTTTGCAGGTTTCCAGTGGAGGTTACCAAGCCATTGAAGGCGGTGGAGGCAGAACAACCTCGGGAAATCCAACAAGTGGTAAATCTGCATTTAAATAATTCTTTTGCACTTAATGGATTCAAAATTTATTTCAAATTGAGAAACAGGCCTTGCTTTATAAACAATATTACATGACCAGTACTCTTAATACATATCATCTTAGGCAAATTCTTAGACGAAAAATAATGCACCATTTTAAATTGCATTTAAGAGTACAGTATTATAGAAAACAACATATTATTACACTATCCAAATTCGAAAAACCAAATGAAGTAAGTTTTGAAGAACAAAACAAAGTAGTAAAGAAATGTTATTGATTGAGACTTTTTGTGGAAAATTCCTCCTAAAAGTACCTAGGCTTCCACGTAGATTCTATATAAATATATTTAACTAAACAAGGAGAAATCATTACTTAAATAACGGTAAACTATTTTGGCATACAAGAATCTGTTAAAATAGGGTTCAAATAGGGTGTTTAGTTAAAATGAATTATCGCACTGATCCCTGCACACTCTCTTGGTTCGGATAAGATGCCCACCTGAAAGTTGGATCTTGGAAACCAAAATCTGCATTTCGCGAATCCTGTAGAAATTAATTTTTTACATTTTCTGCTTCAGAAAATCCAATAGCTAAAAATGTAATGGACCAGGCTAAAGATGTTGCAGATACTTTTGACTGATTTTGGTCTACTGGATCTGATGTCTTTCTCCAATTGCCTTTTAAGTGGGAAAGTGGAAAAAGTTATCCTATTTCCCTGTGTGTTCTTTATGGTATAAATAGTGTTCTTGTTGTGGCTAATCTCGCTTGCCCGATATCAGAACAAGCTGATGAAATTCATTGTGGCAAAGATGCAAGATTGCGCCTTTCATTAGCAAGAGTTTGGAGCGCCATACAGGAGACAATACGACTTTGTTTAGTGCCGCCCCCAAGTTTCGAAGGAGACCACCATGGGGAACGGGTCGAGGGTCTCCATCCTCTTTTCCTACCAACAGCCTCTGAGAGGACTTTCGGTTAGCAGCATATTTTGATTGTCCCCACGCCGCACAGATACTATACGTTTACAAACATCCATGCCTCCTCCGGGATTCAAACCAGGGCCATTCGTTCCGGTAATTACAGTGACTAACCACTATCCGGAATGGGCATTATATAAGTAATTAGCACGTTCACTTAACAAATTGAATATCCGTCGTTCCCATGATGGCAAGAGTATTATTTACTTTCACACTATCATTTCCAAACATCTAACGGCTCTAAACATCTAACGCTCTAAAGTGATTTCAAGTTTTAAATTATAGTTTCACACAAACAAACACATACAGAAGTGCACAATATATTGGCCTAAAATCTTATCGTTCTGCAGGAGAATTAGACGGAATTTGCCCACCTAAAAGGGATAGTAAAAATCAATAAAATATTTGTTTTTACTTAACAATATTACTTTTCTTTCAAAAACAACTTTTCTTTTGAAAGTAGAAATGCTATACGAAAATAAGCAAGGAGATAAAATCAATGCTTTAAAGACTATTATCTTTCAATTTCTTAAAGAAAATACGTTTCAAAACTTTAAATAAAAATGCAGATTGTCAAGTGGTTTAATTTTGCTTTATTCCAAATAAAAACGGGGATTACATTCCTAAAATGAAATGAAGTTTTAAAGTTAAATTGCTACTAGGGATAACGAAGTCTTCCAGAAATCCACTGAAGTGCAAATTCTTTAGAGTTTCAAACAAACCATTGTGGAGTATGATCTCAGTGTTTTAGGTATAATATCAGATTTCGACTTCAGAGGAAAGAATGTCAATAAAATAATTTCAACGTCATCCGGAAAGAATTCGATCAATCAATATATTCGATAGTCGCAAATGAATACTGCGGATGAATTGCGCTGATGATTGCGCAATATAAAAAGAATTCGACTAATCAAGTTAAGAAATTCGGCTTCTTGACAATATTTCAACATTTGTTTACGTTGCTATTTTGTGATTTAAAAAAAATTAAATATTTCTGTTCTATGCAACTTTTTAACAATCTAAACAAAAGCAAGGAAATTAAAATTCTTGTTGTCCGATGCAACTTTTGCATTAATGCAAGCAGTTTGCGAAAAGATTGCAGTTTATGTATTATGAAGTTTTCAAACATAGTTTTTGCATTCAATAACTACTAGGTTACTAAATGCAAAAATTTCTCGTATCAGTATCTAGCCATATCTTCCCTCAGGCTGAAACAGGCAAGATGGGAGAATAACACAAAATGAAAATTAACCTCAAGATGGAGGCGAAAATTTTTATTAGATATATATGGTTCCGTGTCAAATTAAATAAATTTAAAACGCATTTCCTTTCGATAATGCTAGATGTTTCCAGTCAGAAATCTTTGTAAATTGTTTCAGAAACAGAGACAAAAACATACGAAGAATGCATAATTTACTCAGGAGATACAAGCCACTTGCAGAATTAAAAAAAAAAAAGATTTTAATGTTCGCTTCCAAGATAGTAGGCTCATAGGAAGCTGAGCTGCAATATAACTGATATTAGGATGCGAAAAGATTTAACTCGATTAAAAGAAAATGCTGAAGCACAATTCTTATTCAAAACTCATAGGAGGTCCGAGTTTTGGAATTTATAAAAGCACCTAAGAGAAATACCTGAAAATGAAAGTTATAACCGAACCAGGATTATTAACTTTCCCTTTTCTTACATAGCGGACGCAGGCATTAGTCTGGTCCAAGGATTAAGTTAAACAATTTTATGTCAAATATAAAAAATTGCATCAATAAATCAGGCGCAGATATTTATTTAATAAAATCGAACTTTTGTGCAATTAGAATGTGTGTTTTTGTTTCTGGAAATTTATTAAAATTTGTAACATTAAAAATAATCGTAATACAAAAATAATAAAACGTAAATCTAATGAAATCGTTTTTCCCAAAACTTTTGCTCATATTTTTAGACTAGCTGTTTCCTTGAAGTTATTTATGTGCAGTTATTAGTATTATGATTATGTTGCATATTATCGAGAAAATGTAAGAAGGTCGATGAAGCAAAATATTCTTTTAAAAGAGGTCGATGCAAAAAAAAGAGTTGGGAATGTCTGCTCTAATAAGAGTATCTGATGCAGCGCTTACGACTGCTTATACGATTCTCTGATTGATGTCATCAAGAATATAAAATTTTTTCATTGTAAATCTCAATTTTGGCAAATCCCTAGAGGTAGGACTCTAATGGAAAAAGGTTTGACATTTTAGGTGCCATGGGATAAATGAGTTATTTTCTGCCATTTTATCATCTTCGAAATCGACGATTCAATAAATCTCGCACACGATTTTGCAATGATAGGCGGTGCTCCATATTAACGAAAGAAATTAAGCAATTCAGCATATTCCATTTCCACTCGCTCGATTTGAAGAAACAAAAAGATATGTAGCATGTCAAAATATGCACTGAAGCCGACATCAGCTCCAATGAATGAAAAAGATATGAAATAAAAATAGCACTGCTATATAGTATTATCATAAAAAATACATAAGAAATCTGAAAGCTTTCAGATTTTATATTACGCCGAAATAAGCGTTTTTTTTTTTTTTTTTTTTTTTTTTTTTTTTTTTTTGGTTGTTGTTTTTTGTTTTTTGTTTTTTGTTTTTGTTTGTTTGTTTGTTTTTGTTTTTTGTCGTACGGTGTTGCCATTGCTCACTTTGAAATCTTTGAATTTGTTAATCAAAAATTACTTAAACTTTTACAGAATATGAAATAGATAATAAAACAAATTCTAAATTCCAGATTCCCATATTCGAATGGAAGACTACATTATTCAAAATCTGATGTCTCTAGGTACCGTTGTTTTTTCACATTGCGAGAAACATACATACATCATAAAGATTCTTCATTATTATGTTTCTTTAAGTATAATGCAGGGCTGTAATATCTGATGTCAACAATTTGAAAAGTGAAACGCCGCTTTATAGGGTAGACGGCGCAAAATGCCAAAGTGAAATTAATAGGCCTACTGGGCAAATTGCCTCTTTGGGCTAAAAAGATGAAAAATCTAACTAATCATTCGATCGTAGCATGTACCACACGAAAATACTGAATACATTTATATACCACATGGGGATTTTCGTAATCTTAAATTTGGCAGTTGTGGCAATTTATACAACTATGTTGCATCACTGAAGTTTTAAATCCACAGTATAAACTCGTATAGTAACTTTCTGAGTGTCTGGTTTAAATAAAAACACTTTTAATCTATTTAACAACATATATACTTAGCAAAAGGTTTATATAATCTCATTACTCATTCTCTGCTACTCTGTACTATGATATATATTTCTCTGTAAATAATTACGAAGTGGTTCTTACCCTGTTTTGCCCCCATTGCTAGAAGGTCATTCCCCGGCTTTACAAAATCTGAAAATTACATGTACATTTATATTGATTTAGATTATTTAAGCGGCACAGTAGAACATAGATGGAGTCAGGATGACTGCATCTCCCCTCCCGAAACTATGAAATTCTTCCTCAGGGAAAGTCCCGGTTGGGTAGCCCTGGTTTATCGTATGTTTAACATGGAAAGGAAAGACAGCTTGAAGGGCATCATAACTAATAGAATTTAAGGGCAGTTTAACTAAATTCTTCCGCCTTTTATGTCTTTTTAATCTTTCTTTCACTCTTTTGAGCAAACTAATAATTCTTTTCTTTATATAGTTGCAGAAGCCCCTCAGACTTTCCTGTCTCAAGTGAAAAGGGCAAAGGAAGAAAGTGTAGGATGCTGCAGCTTCTGCCTGGCGTTTTTCGGTCTGCTTCTCGGTTCTCGTAAGTAAAACTTTTGTTTTTTCTAAAATATCAGCTTACTGTGTTATTACATCACCTTTGTAATTTCGTTTATATAACATTTTTTGTTAACGCCTACTTAATTTATTTTGATGACATTTCACTTTGAAAGCTCTGTGTCATTTCTAAGTACTCTCTCATTAACCGCACTCAGAAAAGTCGCAAATTCGTTTGCAACTAATTTTTCGCTAAGTTAGTGCACAAAAAGCAACATCCATTTTCAAAATAGCGACGCACTAAGAACTCCATACAAGAGCAATCAATCAATGAAATTGAAAAAACAAGAGAAACCTTTCCCTTTCACGTTGTTGTTCTCCCCAGCTACACAACGCTCTGTTTTTGCTTAAAAAAATATTGCAGAACTATGAAAAACAGGCATCGTACAACATCTATACGCTTCGACCGAAACAGGCATGTATTACACATATACCTGGATTGCCACATAAATATTTTTGGCGACATCTTGGGTTACTGCATAGTTAATTTGACGACTGCCTCGTAAATTTATTTTCGCCACTTTTCGGTGGGAATGGGAATAATCAGAAAGTATCTATTTCAGTTATTTTCGCGAAACCTCAGTTAATAAACTTCTCTTCCATTGGTTATAAAAGATTTCCCAAATAGATGTGGAGACAATGTAGCTAAATTTATAACGAGAATGATATTTTAGTTAATATTATTTTATTTGTTATCTATGTTGTTAATTTTACACACAATCAAGTCTGATGCTAAATCACTGAGATATATAGTCATGCCTCATTCAACACGGTCTAGTATCGGGCGTTCTAAGCTTTTATGTGTTTTATTAATTTACGATTGTTTTTATTTCACATACCACATCTAAATAACACTGTACATTTAATCCAAACAGTTAAAAAGAGAGAAAGAAATATGAACTGTTCACCGTATATGTTAGACTACAGCAACAAGTGACAGAAAATCGTGTTTCTCCTCTTCCCCAGCTTCATGTCATACCTAAGGTTTCCTAAGATTGAAATGTATTTTTACTCGTTAGGAAACAGTAGATAAAAATATCAATGAGAGCGAATTTATTGGTTTTAAAATAGCGAAACGTTATTGTACCTGCGATTACCTGGATTACTAGTTCTGTTCAGGTCAATTGAGAAACTGGATTATACATGGGATAAACCACAAAAATGCTTATACAGCCAAACAATTTGGCAGGATTTGAAGTCTAGTCAAATAACAAGCGTTTAGTAATCTTACGTGTTAAGCCGCTTGTGAACCAATTTTTCCGTGAACTCAAAGCTGAGGATATATTTTCATATAACTATTAAATTAACGTGCTCGGGAAATAGATTTGAGTACAATATTCGTCACAAGTGCACATTAACGGAAAAGCAATTACACTGTAACCGTATAAGCATGTATGTAAGTAACATGAATATGAAGTAATTCTCTTTTTAAAATACTCTTCGAAGGAATTTTCTCCCTAGTTCTCCCGTGTCTCTTCATTGATTGTTTATTTAATCTATTAAAATTAAATGTACAATCAAGAACGAACATAAAATGTCATCGTATAATTATAAGATTTTATTTAAATTAACCCGTTATTATGTGTTGAACCTTTACTTTAACTTCTGTCCGTAGTCCTCATCAGAACACAAATTAGTTATTGTTTATTTAAGCTGAGGGTTTGACTATTTAGAGCTAGATATTATGCAGCCTCGTTTTTCTGTTTCTTATTATTGACAGCTGTGCCTCAGTTTATTTTCGGCTTTAATATCTTGCCGACGTTTAAAATACGCTCCGTTAATTATCTTGAGCCAGCTTAAGTAATCTATTGACTGTAATCTCAGATTACGTTACCTTCATTGAACACTAGGTCATAAGATGACCTAGCGTTCTGAAGATGATTTATAAGTAAAAGAAATGGATTGCATAGAAAGCGGGACTCACGCATTTAAACATGATATTTTAAAGTTATTCAAAAATAAGAAATTTAAATGGTGCAATCAATTGTGCAAAGAAGAAAAGAATCGGTCTATACCATAATGAGTGGTTTTGCATCCAAATACAATGATAAAGAATAGAAAACGGAAAAGAGTGTTAAAAAACCAAGTATCATTGAGCGATTGGTAAACAAATCTCGGTCGTTACGATCCCAGTACAAAATAACAAATCGTAAATCTAATATGCTAAAGAAAAGAAATGCCGCTTGGAAGAAACGGTAATCTCAGATTAGTTCAGAAGATTACCATTTTATAATGATGGTAAATATGACTTCTTTTAACGTAAAAGACAAGTGATAAATGATAGTAAACTGTCGTTGTGCAATTTTTAAATATTAGTTTGTGAGTATGAGACACGTTCAGGTTTAAGATAAGCATTTGATGCAAATATGCAATCATATATCAGGCCGTTATATCACACGTTTATTTGGGATAGCAATCTGTTCTTAATAATTTCTGGTTATCCGAACCTCCGCCAAAAAATCAAGAAAAAGTATTTATGAGACAAAGCAGTATGTTGCCATGTCACCTAAAAATACTTATGAAGCAACTCAGGTATGCTCGTAGCGCATGACTGTTTTGGCAGGTGCGCTTTGCGAAATTTCTATGGATGAGGGATTTGTGCAATTATCTGAGGCATTTTAAGAGAAAATAGATCGCTGTGTACACAGTGAGAACAACAACGCAAAAAATCTCGAAGCGTTAAGTATTTTATGACTGCAGTTTCTTGCCTTTATAATTTTATTAATTGATTGATCTTGTATACACTTCTTACTGCACCGCTGTTTTGAAAATATACACTGCCTTTCTCGTATTAGCCTAGCAAAGAAAAAAAAAAAAGTCGCCAGCGAATTGGCGACTTGACGTAGGGTGCGAAAACTCAGAAGTTACTAATTTTTCTACTTGCTTTGCTGTTAAAAGAAGGCCTCTACCTCTAATTTTACCACTGATAATGTACATCTCCGCTCCGTCAAAAGCTGTTTATTGCAATTTTTTCTATCAATCAGTGATCAGAGGCGACATTTTTGCCAACAACAGCATTATCAAAAACGGAAAGTAAAAATCAAATATCTTGCAGCTGGCAGCCCGAGAAAAAAAATCTAAAATATTATTCATCCTAAATCTGTTTAATGTATGATGTGTTATAGTGTCTTTTTATTCAATCTAGCATTTTGCTCAATTTCTTTATAATTTAATCAGAAATTACACTTAATTATCTGTTGAAAAAAAAGAGCCACTTCATAAATTTCTTGAATAGATAAAATGTTAATTTTCTTTCAAAACTGACTAAGAAATATTCTTCCACGTGAATTGCGTTCTAATATTATTAAAACGCAATTCATGTGGAAGGATATTGTGAGAGAAAAAAAAATAAAATTTACTTTTCTTTTGATAAGCCGTAATCACATATGATAGAGATTGATTTATAAGGCAGATATTTTCACAAGAAATGATAATGCATGAAGACAGTGACAAACAGTCTAACGGATAAAGCTTTGTGTTCCCTTATACGTTAAAACAGACTGAAAAGGTTAAAAGATATTAAGGTACCTTATTCTAGTAGCCGTTCAGGTGTTATTCGAATATGTTGATGCATTTTAATCTTATTAATGCCTTAGATATAAAAAAGAATTAGACCCTAGATTCCCATAAAAGTAATCACAGTGGTAAAAATATTATTTTTTTAATGAAGAACTGTTGTAATTAGTAAATAATATCAAAAGGAAATTACGTATGTGAATTTTATATTACGGTGCGATTAAATGCTTGGATTATCTGCGAAAAGAAGTAAGTTTTTTTATTTGGAAAATTGTTTTTATCAAATATTAGCAGAATTTACTATACATTTAAAGATTCATTTCAAAGAGAATAAATCATTAAAAAAATTTCTAATTAACTATACCGTCAGGCATTTCCAGCTACTTCCAAATATTGTTATCATTCAGAGATTATTGTTAAAAACCTACTTCTTGTTTAATTTATTCTGTAAGTCTTATATTAAATGTAAATAAATCTAAACAGTTAGAATGGGTATCTATTATAATATAGCAATTTCAATAACTGATCCACACGTACAATATGTGTAATAGAATGTTCAAATGAATCCCTAAATTATTGAAAAATTGCCTCTCAGATGATGATTTAAATTCCCCCTTATTTTTCTGTATAAAAATCTTAAAAAACCTATAAGTCAATCAATAAATTTATAAGGTATTTCTCCCGCCTTCCTAGGTTGCCTTCGTGGTGTAGTGGTCAGCACACTGATCAGGTATTTCAAAGGACCGTGGTTCAATTCCCAGCGAAGGCGATTGCTAATTTTTCATCTTGCCTGTTTCCAAAATAATCCTAATGTCTCTACAAATTAATAAAGTTCTTGACTTTTGTTTCATCAGAGATATTATCTTAGATACTTTCTTATTATCTTAGATACTATATCTTAGCAATACTATCTGTTATTAAATATATAGCACAGATATTTGATACATGTTGTAAGACTTAGAAATGTAATGTAAGTGGTCTTACTTCATTAACTGGACTTTTCATATCACCACATAATGTTATATTCCGTATTTTCGAAGTAAAATAATTTATTTTTAAGTTGAACAGTTCTGATATTACAATATATTTTTAAAGCTAAACGTAGGAAACCAATTATGCGTATTTTAGGGTAAAATCGTCAGAGATAATGTTCGTTTCCAGCTTTACATCAACAAAAACTGTTGAGAGATTGCAAAGTGTTAGATTATTTAAATGTGACAAAGCCACGAAAGCTATCTGCCTAAAAAGAGGACACATTCTTGGAGGGTTCCTGAGAGAAACTGGCTCGTATTCACACTATGCATGGAAAAGTCCCTAAAATCAACCATGCAGCCAGCCCGTTCTCCTGGGCTGGATCCCAAGTCGAACTATTAGTATTCAACTGACAAAGGATTAAGGATTTTATACAAAAAGGATTTGAAGAAAATTAATTTCTTAAAACAATTTTAAAAAATTTAATTACTTTTTAAATTATTTTAATTATAAAATTAATATTTTTTCTTCTCGGAATTAACTCAAGATTTAACGTAAAAATGCTTTAATACTGAAGATAATAAGATCGCTTTCTCCCACTTATGATTCTGTAATAAAAAGTTCCAAACGTCTGTTTTAACTTTTAACTTCTTTAAGTTGTTTAAAAATATTCGTGCTAACTCGCACTCTGTTTCTTATTGCAGTTGTATGGACGCTTGTCGTTATCGTCATTGTGACAGTTCCGATTGTTATGATTGTCATTGGTAAGTATCTTTTCTACTACTAAGCAATGATACAAGTAATTTTTACTTAAATTTCAGTTTTTAGTACAGTGATGGAAAATCGCTGACGTGGATTAGAATTTTAGAACTAAAGAAAATACTGTTTAGTGCACTAATGTTCATCGAGCAGTTTCACTTTCACGCATCGGGAAATTTCCTTGTGGATTGCCATGTTAGATTTATGAGAGCATTCCATTTTTAAGATGAAATTTCAGACGGTTTGAAGTAGCATTTTTATAATAGTATATAAAACATTAAGTTGTCAGTTATTTTGCTCTAGTAACAACGCTTTTCTGCAATCTGTCATCCTAAATTTTAATATGCTTTATTAAATTAAATCTGCTTTACTAAATTTCTTCTTCGAGTTCCGTGAAAAGAAGAACGAAAATTTAGGAACAGCGGAATTAAGAATATGTAAGTTAAGTCTTCGTGTACTACACGTGGCTTAGGCAAAGGGTGACTCAAATTGTTTACAGAACTGGTTATCACTACCTGAGGATAACCCGTCAGTTATTCTAGAATATAATTTTTAATATGTTAGAAGGAAATAATGCACTCCTTTGGTACCAATAAGATCATCAAGAAAAAGTAATAAATAAATGGCAAGAAATCTGAGATGTACAGTTAAATAATAAGCTAAGAAGCGAGAAAATCGGAGTGGAATTTTGGAAAAAAACTAGAAACCAGAGCAAAGAAGTTCTCTTAACTCGTATTCGAATCGGCCACTCCTGAATCACCCACAATAAACTTCTGAAAGCCCAGAGTGGGCTTTCAGAAGTTTCAGAAGTTTGTCCCGACTATTATAACAATTCGATCTGTACTTCAATTTTACTTCCTTGAACGAAGTATTGTAATTGCGAAAAATTTCGGGTATCATATTTCAACGAAAATATTCATTTTGACCACTCTTGAATCCATTTGAACGATGCTTTTGCGTTACATCTGTAGGTATGAACAGAATAAAGAACTTTTTCAAAACCGCTTATAAAATGGGTATAAAATGAATTCAGAAGAGATTTTTTTTCGTGACGTCTGTACGTCCGTCCGTATGTATGTGTCTCGCATAGCTCAAAAGCCACTAGCTCAGAACGTTGAAATTTTACACATGGGACTTCTATAACATGTAGTTGTGCACTTCTGTATATATATATATATATATATATATATATACATTCACTCTGTTACTTGGCTTGGTAAGCTCATTTTTTTTATTCTTGTATGTTGGTGAATTGTGCATTTTTAGCTCTAAAAACGATTGAATTATGTTGTTATTATGTGCTAGTTAAGATTTTTATGCCTTTAATTAATCTGCATACAAGAGCTGTCGAATTATCAACAATTTAAAAGTTTTTTAAGTAACACTGATTTCTTTATATTTGAAACTCACAGTAGAATAGTTTGTTCACCAGCTTCAATGACTTTTGCCGAGTGGGACCAAAAGTAAACTTTCAGTTTTGTCCACCGAAAAACCTGTCTTCCTGCCTGCTGGCCCAATTACATGTTGTTAGTAAAAACTCTAATTTTAATTGTAAAAACTGTTTTTAACTGTATCTGGTGTTTTATGTTTTTCTGTATTTTACAATTTTGAATGAAGATGTGTTGAGCTTTTACGTATTTTTGTCTTGCCACGAAGTGAAAACTGAACTAATTTAATGGGAAATATATCTCTAATAAAATTTGAGGAAATAACTTTAAATGAAATGCAGAAAAAATGTGGATATTTAATACGCCATACAAGGAAGTCATGTGGTGTTCACATCAGCTATTTTAATTGTCTGAATTTTAACAAACTTATAAGCATTTTAACGAGTGTCACTGACCTCTTGACAGTGTAATCGGAAAAGAAGTCAATACAAATTTATTATTACTGTTCTAGAAGTTGAAAATTGGGAGCTATATTCACTATATGTTCATTATAACATAGCGACTAATACTTTGTTTCACAAAAGAAAAGCAAATTTAACAGAGCACTTCTTTTGAAATAAAATGGAAAGTTACTGGGCAAGACTTTATTTTAGCGAATACGTTGTTTTTATCCTGTGTCTTCTGTTTCTTCTGTCGGCCTTCAGCAGATTGCAAACTATTTTAAGCTACTTTGAGTGAATTTGAGTACGGAAAGGGTATTGTGGCAATCACACACGATACAATGTGTTAGCCTGACATTGCACTGCATTAACATGTTAGCATGTGTTAATCTGTGACAATCACACATTACATTATCTTGCATACCTTGAACACTGATAAGTAAATTTTCTGTTCGTTAGAGAGAGAGATTTGAATCCCATTATCACAGCTGATGATAGATGAAAATTTGATTTTGTAGTTTAACTGTCTTAAATACTTGAGTTTCTGAAACTCTGCAAACAGCAGTGGCTAACATTTGTTAATTTTCAATTGAATTCTAAGATGAAGTTTTTTATAAAACATATAATTAAGCTTTTAACTTCTGTCTACGTTACTGTAGTTTAGATAAACTTCCGTTTAGTTTTTAACACTGTGATTTGTAGGAGCAAGAAGCGTTAACCAGTTGCATGTCAGACAATAAAGCAGGTTTAATTTTAAAATCAAAGCACGGAAAAAATTGCTTTACTTAAATTTTTGCCAATTATGTGCTATGCAATTTAATTGTTTTAGGCATTCTAGAGTTTTCAAAATGTAACTTTCCGATTGTATTAAAAATGGTCATGCTGAACTTCCTGTAGAGGCTTATATGGAGATTTCTATGAAGAAAAAAAAGATACCAGAACAGAATTTGAACGTTCTGTTGGAAAAACCAAACCTGACCTGTCATTACATACAATGTAAAAGAAGTATAGTACAGATGGAAACCTATCTGGGATGTTTTGTACTTAACAAAACGAACTTCATTGTTATAATGGAAAATCGCTTTTATTTAATGAGCGTCAGCACTGATTACCAGTGTTAGTAGAACCGTGTATTTTATGTTAGCTTCATTCCCATCCTATGCTTTTCTATAAATTGTACTATGTATCTTACCTTCTGAATTTTGACTGTTCACTTGGTCTAAATTTTATTCTAACAGGAAACTTATATTAAAATGCATCATGTACATCAGTTGTCTAGTCAATGTTTGATAGCCTTAATAAAATAGTATCTTTTAAAATAAGAGAATGATAATAATAAACGATATGCCTTTTATGATACTATGGAACACCTTGTGTAATTAGATTTTGCTTTCCGTCTAATTTTTTGTTCTTAATCGAGTCTTCCGTCTACAGGTGCGGAGTATTTCCACGACTGGCCAGTGGAAAAGATGATTCCCATCACTTTGATCGTGGCCGGATGCGTTGCCCTCCTCAGTAACCTCCTCAACTTCATTGACAGGTTCAGACGATTCTCAGAATCTGGCCTACCCAAGAGACATACTGTCATCGGCTGGATCAACGTCTGCATCAATATCTTCTTGGCTGCCTGGTTCGTTGCAAGTAAGCCGGTTACTATATAGTTGTTTTGAAGCATTATTCCGTAAAAGTATCATCATAACATTAAAAATTGAAAACTCCAATTCTTTAGACTAGTCTATAGTCTATACTGCTGCTTGTTCTCTATAATCCAAGTAATATTAAGCTTGATGTTAATCTATTTATCCGTCCCTAACCATTACGTAGGCTTAAAGTATGTATTAGAACAGTGACCCGGAAGGCAGATATCCGAAATTGCAATTATCCTTATCATATGTGCTTTATAAGCAGAGTAGAATTTCATAGCTTTATTCGCAGTAAGCCTTCCCTTATTATAGAAAAGATAAAAATATCCACCCACTACCGTCCAGCAGAATCCAATTCGACATTGCATAGTAGTGAGAGTTCTCAAAAGATGTCCTCGCTGATTGCAGCAGCTGCTTGTCGAATGCTCGTTTGCACTTCCGATACCGTGCAAAGTTTGGTTTAGTTTATTAGATTTACAGCAAAGCACTCGAGGGCTATCTGCCTTAAAGGAGGGATGCCCTCGTGGAGGACTTTCCAAAGGAAACTGGCTCGTATACACGTTACACATGGGGAAAACCACGAAAACACCTATGCTTTCACCCCGTTTGCGGGATTCGAACCTCGGACCAAACTACCAGTGTTCAGCGACGTTACCGCTCTGCCGCTGGTGGGCCCGATATCGTGCAAGGCTTATGGGTAAACGCTTTTTCCCTTAAAACACCGATAGAATTAATTGGCACTGCGTCACTAGGGTAATTAATCTAGGTGGGCAAATCTAGGTACTATAATTTTTTGAAATTAACCTGTCCAAAAACGGAAACCTCAATTTTATCCAAGCTTTCATACGAGATGTGCACATAGCAGTCGCAAATAGCTGTTTTTTAGATCATAATAGAGTCTCATTTTTTGTATTTTTTTATACTCAATTACAACTTTTTTTCTAAGTATAGGGACCGAGGGAACGTATAAAACGTTAAATTTTATAGATTTTTTTTTAGAACAAAAATTCCAAACAGAAGCATTTGCATCATTTTAAACAATTTTGTAACTTTTATTTGCATCACTTACGGTGTTTCACTGTGTGTGGAATTTTGTCACAGTCTTTTAACCTATTTCCTAATTAGTTATCGATTTCAAATTTGTCCGCGCACTGTTTGTTGATGCAAAATGCAATGTGGGGAAGGGAATTTTACAAATTCGACTTATTTTTTAAAATTAAAGGCAAATATTATTTATTATTTTTACACATATTTTCGTGTAACAAACAAACTAAGCAAATCAGAATTTTACTGTTTGTGCCATCGAATACATCTGAAAAAAAATCTCTCAATAAAACTAGTCTGAAAATTGTAACTTAATTTCTGAATTTTTGAAAATCGCTCTATTTTTAGAAATGTTTCACGTCTACTATTTTAAAATTTCAACACCTAAAAATGTATCGGATATAAAGTTTTGAAACTTTTACAAATTATAAAACATGTTTAAAAACAAGAATGACGAAAACAATATTAATTGAGTGATTTTCCTACATTTTTAATGGGTTACATTCTAAAGCTGATGGAAGAAAGAGCGTTCCGAGTGTGCCATCTGATTTCTTCACTTTCTGAATGACGTTCAGTTATTTTTCTTTATTTCATAATTTCTGTATAATTTATTGCTTGTGTTTTAATAATAACTAAACCATTTTGTCATTCATAACGAATTATTAGATAACAAACAGAAAATAAAATGCAATTAAAAAGGTTTTTATACAATAAGCTTTTATTTAAAGTGGATATGATAATTAGTGCACTAAAAGGAGAAAAATAATTTATCCTACAGATAATTTAGTGGAAGTAATAGATTAAATAATTCTAGTTACAGAATTCATCTACTATTTTACGTCGTGAATACTAAAATCGTACAGCGCCTAAATAACGAAATCTATTAATAAGCCAGTACCGGTTTTTTTTTTTTTTTTAATTTTCTATTAATTTTATTGCATTGTCAAATATATGAATCATTATCTTTTTGACTTAGCATGGGCGTTCCAAGCTTTTATTGTTCACGATTGCAAACGAGTTCTTTAAACAGAATTATTTAGTCTATCAAATCCTATTTAAATTATATGATAAATTATTATTCTCCTTTTAATTCATTAATTGTCACATCCGTCCAAAAGAAAAGGTTACTAAAAAATTTTTTAATTGCATTTTATTATTATTATTGAAGTATATGTCTACGACCAACAGTTAAGGAAATAAAGGCAGGAAAAGGACTTTTTTGTACACAGTGTATATTACAAATTAATATAACCTCTAGAAACCTTTGTTGAGATCTAGACTAGCAATAAGATTTCGGAGTGTATCGAAGGCAACAAAACTCACATCCGTGCAAAGATTAAACCGCACAAGTATCAGCTGTCACTAATGCCCAATTGTACCTGTCTGTGTAATATATATGTCTAACAAATTCATTCTGCTAGTTAATTTACATGTTCTTGTGGCATGAGCTCTTACGCGTTTGAAATCAGGAAGTACCTGGACGGAATAAAATTTAAAGTAATTGTTTAAAAATTCAGAATAAAAGTTATAATATGAAACCTAAACTGAAATCTTCAATTACTTATTTAATACTATTTTTATTTAAATTTTGTTTTCTTTTAAAGTTTATTGGAAAATCAGAAGAAACTGAATGGAAAAAAAATTAGAAATGACCAATTAAAAACTTAAGAATAAACATTAGAAAGTGAAACTTTTAACTTAAATCTTCCATTACAACTTAACACCATTTATTTATTTAGATTTTGTTCTCTTTGTATATATATATATATTTCCATTGCTAGCATGTTACTGGGTGTATGGTGCCAAAGTTCACCTGAATGCGGATAAAAGTTCAGCAAATTACTGCAACCCTCATCTCTATGGCTTCATCTATTGGCTTCTGAACTTTGTTTTCATATTCTTCGGAACTATGGTGGTTGTATCCGGGCTCGTCATGTTCTGCGCTTTCATGTGCTGGTAATGGAGCATTATGCTGATACGGTTCATCTTCATTTTCCCTGAAAATCACTCCATCTGAAATGAAGTTTTGTTCTTGGATCAATTTCTGAAGAAATGAGCTAAACTGTTTTTTAAATACGTTATTTAAATTCTACATTTCATTCATCATATTTTTATTTTATTTCAAAATCGAAATGATTTCGTATCATTGTTTTTAACCTTCTCTAACATTAAAAGTAGCATTAGAAGTAAAATTCTTAGTATAATGATCGTGATAGTCAAAGGTGGCCATTAACTTATTACGTTTCTTCAATTTTTGGTTATTACACATGAGACAGTGATACATATTCTCCAGGTTTCGAAATAAAATTTAAATTATTTTTCAAGTTTGAAATTGTAGATTTGACAGTTTGTTTTTCTCTTTTCTGTAAAACCTCTATTATTTTGTACACTGTCATTATATTTCCATTTATTTATATATGTATATGTGTCTATTGTATTTTAATTTATTTCCAGTTATTATTTCTTTCAATGTATTACTCTGATTTCGTGTAAATGTAGTTTTTATTTCATACTTTGAAATAAAGATATTTTAAATTAATCTTATTGTTTTATGATCAGTGTTTGCCGTAAGCTGTAAATTTATATTACGTTAATTTACATCACAAAGAACTACAAGGTTCTTTGTTTTAGAAGTAAAACCATACAGAAGACAATGAAAATAGCTGCTATTTCCGTTACGTAAAATGCTTAGTGTCTACCATATTGGCTTCATGTGATCAGTGTTAACAGCAAACTATAAAGTTAGGTTAATTACTCTCACAAAAGTCTAAAGGGCTTTTTGTTTCAGAAATAATACTTCTATAGAAAGCAAGGGAAACTGTTCCCATTCCCATTACCTATTATGATTAATGCTCATTATATTGGCTTAATATTATCAGTTTTCATCATATTGCTTCAATATGATCAATGTTCACAATAAGCTGTAAGATTAGGTTCAGGTTAGTTTAATTAATATCACAAAGCACACATAACTAATTAGACCGATCATGGAGTATGCTTCTCCCATTGGCTTGTCCCAAAGGAGACAAGACATTTCGAGGACTGGCTTGGGAGAATTAGAACGTGTCCAGGCGAAGGCCGCAAAAAATCATTACCAGTGCAGTGTCTTCAGCTAATAATTTAAAAGTAATTCAGGAATGTGGTTATCGAAAGCCTCGGGAAAAACAATATAATGTTATAACATTTTTATACACAAGGCAAGAAGTCATGTTTTACACATCTCTACGAAAACCTTTGAAAACTATGATGGCAGCATTATACTGAAAAGATCATCTCCTATGCAATCTGACAAAGATATTAGAGCAGTTCTCGGCCTCGAACACAACAAACCTTTCTTCATCCAAGACCAACATTTCCTTCCAGGTTCCCATGAACTATAAAATAGTACTTAGCCTACTACAGCCACGCAATAAAAATGAATGGTTGATATCATTAAAGCGAAAGGCATCAGAATCGTTGTACAGTATCCAAAAGAAGATTTTGCACACGCTTAATACAGAGGGTTCATCTGATGAGACAACCAGTGATGGAGGTCCCGGAGTATTTCTGACAGCCCCAAGTGATGCTACTTATCTACACAAAATTGGCGCAGGAGTCACAGTTTCTAACTTCACTTGCGAGCTTCTGGCAATAACGGAGACACTTTACATGTATAGATCACTTTCTGAGCAAACAAAAGAAATCTCCGTTTTCTGTGGGTTAAAGGTAGCTCTACAGGTAATCCTGGATGGGAGCTCCCTGATCACCAACGGGATCCATTTTCGCCTAAACGAGCTCCAAAAGTTAAACAAAATCTGCATTCTTCAATAGTTGCTAGCTCGTGTCAATATCACAGGTAACAAGAACGCAGAGAGATAAACTGATAAAAGAGGTTATAAATCTCAACAATAATAATAACGTAATGTTGTCCTCCTGGACGTAAATGCTATGGCCAAATACAGACCGAAAAAGTATTCAATTCCAATAAAGAACGAGCTCCATATCTTCAATGGAGATCGACTTGTAACTAAAACTATAGTCAAACTTAGAACTGGCCATCACAGATGATTGAGAGTTGACAGAGAAGGTACGAAAACCTACAAGAACTGTGATAACTACCCAGACACAGAACTGACACCTGCATACATTTTTTATTGCCCATTGCTGAATTGTTAAAAATTGGGGTCTTGTTTAAGAATCCGAACTTCTATGATGATAACATTTTGCAGATTGCCAGAGCTGTCATCTTCGCACATGGCACTATTTGAATAGGTTTTTATCATAGACACGACAACAACAACAAAAAAGCACTGCAGGGCACTTTGTTTCAGAAATAATACTTTTATAGAAGACAGTGAAAATAGCTTCTATTCCCGTTACTTAATATGATCAATATTCACCATGTTGGCGTTATTTATTAATGTACCTATTGGCTGAACATGATACGAGTTCACCATATAAAATATGGTTACATTAGTTAATATCACAAAGTCTCTTTGTTTCAGAATTTTTTGCCGCTATTCCCATTACCCGTCGGAGACATAAAAAGATCTCAGTACCAATTCTAAGAGATAATATTTGTCGTTTTAAATGCGTGCATTAAACAGAAGTATTTCTTACGTTTCTGTTCATAAATGAACTTATGGGAGGTAGATAAATAATGCTCTTTAGCAGAGTTTATAATATTTAATATTAGAAACATCTTTTATCTTTTTCCCATTGGTGTAAACGTTTAATCATATTATAAAATGTGTACGTCTGCTAAAGCGTGCTAAACGGCAAAACAAATCACCCGCATATATGTTGCCATAAATAAGTATTTGATCTACAAACTGGGAAGAAAATTTGTTATTCACTCCTTTTTCAAATGCGAGTAGGCTGCCATCTCAGTTTTCTGCATGTTTGCACTTCTTTCTATGGCCTGAGTATTCTTGAAGTCTTTTCAATTACTCTATGTCATTATTAAAATTGCACAAGTATTTACAAAGCTGATAAAGTATTTTCATCGTCTTTTTCCTACATTGCTCAATACAGTTCCCTACATTCTACACATTCAGAGATTTTTCACAAAGACTTTTATTTCTAAAATTCAACGATATTCAGATGTGAATAAAATTATTTGCTCCCGAAAGTAAGTAATCATTGCATTATATCAAAGAATGCTTCACGTTTTTTATAGATATCAATAGCAAACAAAGTAACAATCCTGACAATTAATCAAAAGTATAAAAATTTTATAAAAAAGTATTTAAAAAATTTTTAAAAATTTTAATTTCGCATTGTTTAAGTAAATGCAAATCCATTTGCACACAGTAGTAGTTCAGAGATATTTCCTCCACGCTAAATTTAACAAAAGCCCCGCTACCTGTGTGTACATGTTCATTCTTACTGCCATCTGTATATATCAAAACTGTCTCAACAGGTATTCTATCAATCCCTTACAGAGCATCCTGTCTTAAGTATTTCAGGATGCTTTGAGAACTTATTAGTATAAGTAAATATATATGAAAACACACATCAGAAAATGAGTCCATAGGAGATGTGATGGGTCTTAACAAATTAACCATCTTTTAGTGGACGTGGCAATTTCGTTGTTGCTGCCTCGATATTCTTAAAACTTGAAAGCAACTTTGGGGATCAAACTTATATGTATGGCTTAGAAACTGCACATCGTATCTCAAAGCAAAAGTACAGTTTGGTCTTAGGACTGTCTAACTATCAGGAGAAAAGCTCTCCACACATAGTCTGCAGCTGTCTGTTGGCGTAGAAACAAACCATAACCCATGTTTCGTACCGGTGTCTTGAAAAATTGTTTTCAGTTTGCCATCACGGAGCTCTTAATGACGAAGTAACTTTCTCTAAATTTCTTTTTCCGTGGTTAAGATTCTCCAAAAACAAAATAACAAAAAAAATTCACTTGGCTCACCCCTACCTAATATATACTAGTGCTGTTGCTATAGCGACCACCAACAACTAGACATCATGTCGAGATCATTACTCTTGATCGACAGACAATACCAAATTTGTGATCTATTCTCCTGCGCGAGAGCTGCTTGGTCACCGAACCATCACAACGGTATAATACATTCATTAGAGCTATATTGATAGGAAGGAATGGAAAAGAAGGTCGTACTTACATTCCATACGAGCAGTTATTCTCTTTTTTCGAAATCGCTATAAACATACAGTATTTTGAATTAGTAATTATAGTTTGAGATTTACGATTACCTTTAAGAAGTATTAGAGAAAAAAAAATTGTAATGTGAAAATAATTTTAAGACTTTAACGTATTTCTTAACTAACAAACATTTTTTAAATTCTTCAAAAAATTGAAAAATTAAAAATTATACTTAGAAAAAATTGCAAATTAATTTTTGTATTCAGATTCCCTTTTAACAGAAAAAGTTTTACTAAATTATGACATACATATCAGTCTAAGACAATCCCTAGAAATCATGCGTTTAAAGGGATGTTCAGAATAGTGATATCAGAGAATAGAAGAAACTTTGCTGTGACTTATAAATGAACACAATGGGGATATGCTTTGACTATTTAATAAAAAAAAATACTGTATTTTCTCACGAATTTTTCCGAAACCGTTTAGCTCCAGGTTATGAGAATTTCAAAAATCTCTGCATAGTTTCTCCTTTTTTTACTGTGTTCAGAGGAAGAGCTTCCCTAAATTTTAAAATGGATTCGTCCATATAGTGATTGTTTTGCCTTGCTAAAAAAAAATCGGAAACTATCTGCGAAGATCAAGCCAAATCTTTCTCTTCTAAATGTTGAACTTTATACCAGCCTAATATAAGAATCGACTTATCAAATAAGCACGACCTAGCATTTAGTCTACGATTTCGCCGAGTCGGCTGCACATTCACCGTGCTTAATTATTTATGAACGGTTTGAGACCTAAGGAACAGCAGAAAAGCAAAAACAACGAGCGATATTTAAGTTACAGAGAAATTTTTTATTTCCATTGGCAGATCTGTTGTAAGACAACTGTACTCAGAAATATAAACAGAAGAAACAGGTAATAAAACTAAAACTACAGTAAGTCTGTAAATCGTTCATCTTGTGCTGAGCTCTCCAGTACTTTTTTCACAAGTGTCCCGAGCCCAGTGCAGGGCAGTGATTCAAATGGTTAGCGTCCGTTTTCTCACGAATCTGCCCAATTGGCAAAGAGGACTTGGCAGTCGAGGAACTTTTGAATTCCTCTATGCTTGAATTAATTTACGACCCCAAAGACTGAAAGGCTTTCTTGCCCTCTAAAGGAAAATTATTTAATCCACATCTTTTACTTATATCATCAGATATATCTTCTAATACTAAGAGAACAAGTTTAAGATGACCCTGGTACAGGGCATCGTCAGGTTATAGCTGACGTTACATTTGCTGCTCCAGTCCGAGGCATAAGAACTTCAAAAACGTCTGGTAATTTCAAAAACCCAACTGTAACGTTTTCAAAGAACTATCAAACCTTGTGCTTGGTCCGAATAAATTAAATTGGAAAGTAGAGTTGATTCAACCACCAAACGTATTACTAATAAAATTATCCAATGTGCAAAAAATGTATTCCAAGAGTCAAATGCAAAGCATGTATTGTTCTGGACCGAAGAACTCAAGACAATAAAGGATAAAAGAAATTGACTTTAATTTAACTGAATAGTTGGTATTCGTAGTTTTCCCATTTATAAAGCAAATAGGAGTTGTTTTCTTTTAGAAAGTCCTCCACAAAAGCATCTCTTCCCTTAGGCTAATAGCCCACGTGTGCTTTGCTGTATTCAACTAATCATTAAAAAACCTTGAAGCTTTTTAACATACGTCTTAACGAATTGTAAGCATGGCCTTCAATTCGCGTTGCTAAAGAATGATTTTCTTCTATTTTTTAGGCCGTAAAAGTTTTATTTCCCTAATGTATTCTTAACCCTTTCTACCGTCCCAGACCTACTAAATATTCTTGGCATTCTGAAGTCAATCTGACTGCTTTGGTTTAGAATTACATATGATATTTCTAACAATCCACTCTTCTTCGGGCAATAAACGCATTATTCGTGGTTTGCTTGCAATCATAATTAATTTAGGTTATTTCGAAATTAAATTATATACTGCACATTTGTTAACAATCAGCATTTAACATACCTTAACTTACGTACTGAGATTCTTTATAATGAAGTATTTCAACTTTTCTCATGGTGAAAAGAAATCTCATATTTTTTTTTACCCGTATTAATACAGTAGCTCCTCAGCTTTTATTTTTTTAACTTTAAAAATCCTTCTTTCAGACGTTTGATAGAAACGCCTGTCAGAATTGGTTCTTTATCACATTTTGTTATCGCAGGGCACCAATACTGTTTTGATAATAATTTCGTATTTAGAGGGATGATATTTAAAAGATGTCATTTATTTATCAGATTTATTTAATTTTGCTCGCCATAATAAATTTAGTATAATATTTAGATATAGTAAACAATAAAAAAAAATATTTAGTATTGGCATAACAACTGAATTTTTATCAATGAATGTTTCGAAAGTTTCCTCTGCCTCAATATTTTATTGAGCCACTGTAGGTCTTTCTATTTCAGGAACAGAAATTTTGTCTCGAGGAACAATGTTTTTGCTTTTGCAGAAGAAGGAAGCTGCACGTCTATCATTCTCGTCTTTTATATCGTTGTGTTTCTCTTTCGTACATATCTTCTGTATGTTACATCTTCATTACACAAAAAAACTTCTATACACAAATTTAGATTAACCTCATTAGTAGCCGAGTAGTTAAGACATCTGAAGATTGAGAGTTTGACCGGGTTCGGTTTCAAGAAAACGGATTGGCAGCATGGTTGGGTTCTTTCCCAAGTGTAACTTAATTTTCCTGTGTAAGCTAATTTCTCTTAGAAAGTCCTCCACGAATGTATGCCTCCTTTTAATAAAACAGCCGTAGTATACTTTGCCATATTCCAATAATCTAATATAATTTGATGAACTCAGATTATCTGATGTTCATCCTACACTGAATAATTCCGACAATCTTTCTATAGTTTAAACCAACCATCATGTGGTTCATCATGCCGACCATCATGCCATCATCATGCCATCATGCCGACATAAGCATGTGGTTGGCTTAAACTACAGAAAGATGGTGAAAATATTCTTAAAAACGGAGGCTGGTTAGTTTGTTAATTTAATGAGGGAAAGAGTACGAAAACTACCTGCACTTAAAAATAATATTTTCACTGAGAACTTTCGAAGTAAAACCTCCCGGGTATTCACGTTACACGCATGCTAAATTGCGAAATTCTCTACCAGGATTCAAGTCCACCAGCGGCCGATCGGTAAAAACGCTGAACACTGGTAGTTCGGTCCGAGGTTCGAATCCCGCGAACGGGCTGGCTGCATGGGTGTTTTCGTGGTTTTCCCCATGTGTAACGTGTATACGAGCCAGTTTCCTTAGAAAGTCCTCCACGAAAGGCATCCCTCCCCTTAGGCAGATAGCCCTAGTGTGCTTTGCCGTAATTAAATACGAGACGGGGACTACCAGTATTCAAACCCTAGCCACCCAGCTGTCTGCATGGGAATGCTTTGCGGTTTTTTTCTTATGAAACATGAATGTGAATAATTTTTATTTCTTAAAAAGTTCTCCTCGAAGACTAAAAAGCCATTAGCATAATAAATTAATAGCTTTCACGTATATAAATTATCCAATAGAATAACAAATATCCACCCCTTTCATTGCTTATAGAAACCTCAGGCGCAGTATTAACGCTCAAGTAGCTTTTAACCACTGGTAGGGATAGAAGTGAAGGAAGTTGGTTACACTGAAATTTGCCACATCAGATCACGAAGAAGAATCTTGGGCTAGTGACGTTGAACTTCAACCAGAGTTGGTGCATTTCTTCGAGGGATCGCAATTATCAACTCTATAAAGTTCTCTGTGGATTTTGTTGTTATCTATGATAAGATCGGATTTCGAAAGGTCAACATTGATTACTAAATAAAAGGCAGTTAAGAAATTTCGTCATGGACAGCGAAGTTACCAAAGATGTGGATTCGCCGAAGATTGTAGTGCATGAGGTAAATCAGAATTGTTTTAGATCCTTTCTGTTTTTACGACAATGCTATGCTTGAAAGAGTCTTTTGCAACATTTTTATCTTTAGAAACATGAATAGTTTACAACAGCGATTTTCAAATTTCTTCGAATTCGGAAACCTATAAAATTATATATGTATCCGTTCTATCTTCGGGAAAAAACATGTTAAAAAAAGCATTGAAAATATGCGATACTTTGAATGCGCTATATGTAGAAAATTATTTCAATACAGTTTTACTCAAAGCAACAGATTCGTTTTACAATATTTTAGGTAAACAGTAATAATAGAAATATAAGAAAAAAACTCGATTAATTAATGAATAATAAATCTTAATTAATTTTGAATAATTAATTTTAGATGGTTATTTTTGACGTCCGCGCAGAATACAAGAAGTTTTTAGAAATTTTTCACTTGCGAAAATCTTAGAATTACTTGAAACTACAACGGTTATCAAATCGCAGTTTAAAAATTACTGGTTTGCAGTGAGATAAACACACGGGCAGCATACTTCATACCTAAGTCATTTTTAATCTTATTATTCGTGTTAAATTAATATTAGTTTTGCATGCTGTAGCTAGTCTTACTATTAGTTGCGAAAATGCTACTTTTATTAAGTTTAAACATAATGCAAAATGTGTTTAATTTAAAGGAGTTTTTGTTCTTTGACTGGAGTAAGCAGATAATTAATTGCATGTGCTTTTTAAGGAGTAAGCATACTACTTGTTATGCTTAGCATTTAGTTATTCGCACATCGAATCTTGAGAAACGATTATTTCATAGGCGTGTTATTGTTTTCACTACGTGTTCTAACAGAACGTAAAAAAAAGATTAGAATTATTTTCTCTCTCAACGAGATCTAATATCTTTTATTAATTTTTTATCATAAAAAGGTACTTTGCTTATCACTGTAACGAAGGGAATCCTTTTGTATGTGCTTATTAATAACATTTTTGACGAAGTTATTTTATATTACGATTGTCATAATTGAAATAAATATTAATGGCACCCTGTATTATGTTGATTGTGAAATTTTTAAATCCAGTTCTTGTTAGAAAATGGTAAATTTTCAGTAGTACAGATAACACTTTGTAGCAACGTGTATATTTCAAGATTATCTTCTTTTGGGGGAAGGGCCTTTATTTAAATTACCATCATTTTTTTTTACCATTCATATTTTTGTTTGTTTATCTGTAAAATATCCTCTGAGATGTTGCATTGTAATTTAAAGTTTCATAATCCTAAGCTTTTTTTTTTTCTTTTCATTCATTGTACTTTTAAAAGCAAGCTTCCTTTACTTTACTTTACTTTATATCACTTAATTATTTGATACGGGCCGCGAAAGAGCCCAGCTAGAGGACGAATGGTTAAGAGCGTTGAATATGAGTAGTTCGACCTAGATTCAAAACCTAGGAAAACGGGCTGGCTGCATGGTTGTTTTTCGTGCTTTTCCCTACGTGTAGCATGAATACGAGCCATTTTCCCAAAAAAAGTGCTGCAGGAAGGCATACCTCCCCTTAGGCACATAGTTTTGCATGCTATATGAAAACTATGCTTTGCCATACTAAAACCTATACTTTGAAATGCTGAAAATAACCTATCCTGTACGCAAAAGTTAAAAAAAAAAAAAAAAAAAAAAAAAAAGCACAATGTTAGCACCTTCGTGTCTTTTGAGGTATAAACAGCTGAATGTAGCAACGGCAGCACGCCCAAATTAAGAACTTGTTATACTCCCCGTCTTCACGGATATTATCTTTAATGTTATATTGGTTACATATTATATTTCAATGTTATATTTTCAATATCTGTGTTTTACACTAGGCAGAAGGGGGTGGAGATTTACTCAGATGCATATCGGGGAATTATTATAAAATCAAATAACCATTTATTATCAAAACCAAGAAAGTTGTAAATCTTTAAAATCATTTTATCCATCTTGCACATTAGGGCCGTGTTAAAGTACTTTAAGGAAGGAATGCCTTTCGGGTGGGCTGTCAAAGAGAATTTGACTTATATTCACGTTGCTCATGATGTAGAAAACTATGAAAGTGCCAGTGCAGCCAGTCACGTTCGCCTGAATTTGTACGCGGAACGAACTACCAGTGTTCAGCAGGCAGCCTTAGCTTTCGGCCTTTGAGGAGCAAGCGTTTTATCGGAATAAATATTTCACAGATCTTTAATTTTTAGTCTGGTGCAGTAGATGCGATTTGATCAATATTTTAAAAGTAAAATAACAGAAAATTTCATAATGATGTTGATTTTATACAAAATGATATTAAGTTCCTGCATGATTTCTTGTCTATCGTTCTAAATTTCGGCGGAAATCTATTTAAAGTGTACGACAACGGGAAGAATGTTTATATTGAATTTACATTTTACATTGGCATGTTCTTCTCTCAATTAAATATTAGTTGATTACGAGAAACTGAGTGGTTATGAGTCGAAATCGATAGAATTTTATCCTCCTTACTGCCATACGATATTCTTATATTACCAGGAGTTAAACGTTATTGAATTTTGAGAGCCACAACTTGCTTCAAATGAATCGCAACACAGTAATTGATTGGAATAATTAATACATATGGTACTACTATACTAATTCTTTGTTATCTCATCTTAATGCCAAAACCGATATACTTTACAAAATTCTGGAAACAAATGAAAGATCATTAAAAAAAATAAGGTGTGCTATGTTCTTTCTCTACAGTGCGTTTTAGAAGGATTTCATTGTGAAATTGGAAAATGTTTCCTTATTGCTGTTTCTGATCATACCGTTTCATCTTTGAAGCAAAGTCACGGGGGAAAAAAAACTAAGACAAAATTGGGCATTATTGCGCCGGGAATGCATGGCATGGCGGAAAGGTAGCATTAATTCAAAAACTGGATTTTAAAGGACGCCAGAAATCAAAAGCGAACACAGAAAGACACATCATTTGTTCAGAAATTAAAGTCCATTTACGCAGAAGGAAACAAAATTTTATTATCTCTCTCTCTCTACGTATATAGTATATATGTTACCGTGAAAGACCGAGATTGGAGAATGTCGACTTTCACCGGAGAATGTCAACATTCGCCAAATACGTCGGTGAAAGATCGAATATTGCATTACATTACATTTACTGTGGACCTTCACCGGTATATGTCGACAATCACATATATGCTCTGGTGCAGGCCGAAAAGAGAGGAGTATATGTACACGCTTGTCATTGCAAAAGGAAATGTTCCACATAAATGCAGTTATAAAAGCAAGGGCCTCTTGCGGAATTCAAAGTGTCATAATAGTTTAAGTTGTTTCAATAAATAAGATTTGAATCACATAATTTAGTAAGTTTTTTATTACTATTTATTATTTTATTTTCTCATTTAGCATAATTAAGTTTTTAACTTCTGTTATTTTCCTTTCTCATTTTGAATGTACTGTGTTTTAAGTTCTAATGTTCTTAAGTTCTTATTTTAAGGCTCAAGTGCGTTTTTTCGCGACTGAATTAGAGAAGAAAATATAACATTCTTATATGTTCAACATTCACCATTAGTACATGGTGAATGTCGATATTTACCGGCGTAAGTCAGAAATAAGAGCATTTGAAAAATATTTCGGACATACACCAAGCGACTATGTGAGTGTTGGTGAAATTCACGTCCGGTGAAAGTCGACATTCTCCAGATTTCGGTGTTTCACCGTAACATATATATATAGTTAGTTTTGAAACATATTTATTATGTTTTTCTCTTCTTAAATTTTTGCACAATTCCCGTCATTACTTAAGACATTTGTCCAAATACAGCCTTCAAATGTTTCATTACAAACCATTTAAAGCAATCCTTTCAATATTTTTAGTGTTATGTTACGCTACGTTTAATGCCATTCACTTTTACGTTTAATGCCACTTCACTACGTTTAATGACCAGCACAGAGCTGGTCGGTTTTCTTCTCTGCACAAACGTAACATTTATGCGACCTGACAAATAAGCAATTTTCGAACTATGATCATTCGATGTGAGACATCAGCTTAACTGTCCATACCCAAACTGGTCAATAAACGAAATCTTTAAAATTTGTAATCTTTATTATGCTTTAAATTATCTAACTGATGGAATCATTAATTTCAAACATAATTTATTATATTATTATTTATAGCAATTATAATATTAAATTTAGATTATTTATAGCAAAGCTGGTTTTCAGATTTCGACAATTATGCTGATATGGCATCTAATAAAAATGATGTCGCTAATGTTTGTGAAAAATCAAATAATGTTGTAAGGTAATGCATAATAAAATGCATTAGAAATACTTTGCACTGATTACAATAATGCTGGAAGTGAAGGCGGTTGAAAATTATCTGTTTTATTTATTATAAATAAATCAGTTTTAAAAATTAAATCACTTATAGGTAATACTTAAAGTAAAATAATATTTTAATTATAAGAAGTGCAGGCATTACATTTAAATCATTTATTGTTTTAAATCGTATACAATACGTTAATTATGATTTCAAGGATAAATTTCAAAGTCTTATCTCACTTTGAATGGATTCATTCTCAAGAGGTTTTATTTATCAGTATTAAAAACGAATAAACGTTTTTTTTGGGGGGAGCGAGAAATTGTAACGTTTGTTAAATCAAGTGTGTATGAAATCATGGTAGCGTAATGTAACGTTTAAAAAAGGTCGGAAATCTTAGTCTGAAATCTTTGTAATGTCAATGCATCAATTTAGGAATTATGATCCTTTACAACGCATTTACTTTTCTTATAATGCATATCTGGTACGAAGTATCTTGGCGAACCTTTCTATTAATACTTTTTATGCAACTGATAAGAAACGTGATTGAAAATCAGTGGCTAGCGATATATTGCGAATCTTTCCGTTGTAGGACATAAAACAATTTTCTACAAATTTTAATTTTTTTCTGGTGTAGAATGCATCAGTTTTCTCTAGAGAAACATTCGTCAGTGTAGCCTATTTGGCATCCTTATATCTTGTCCTTATCTTTCATAACTCTGTTCCAGTTTTGAAGTATTGCTAATAAAACGTTTTTATACATTCTATTTCGCTTTTTTTAATCGAAGTTATAAATCTAATGGGTGTATTTCAGTTTACAAAATTTTTGTCACAGAAGGAATGAGCTGATGAGTATATTTTTTATTGGACGTAACAAATTGACACATGGCTTTGTAGAGAAAACATGTTGTCCTATAGGGCCCACCAGCGGCCGAGCAGTAAAGTCGCTGAACACTGGTAGTTCTGTCTGAGGTTCGAATCCCGAGAACGGGATGGCTGCATGGGCGTTTTCGTGGTTTTTCCCATGTGTAACGTGTATACGAACCAGTTTTCCTTAGAAAGTCCTGCACGAAGGCATCCCTTCCCTTAAGCAAATAGCCCTCGAGGCTTTGCCATAAGCATACACACACATGTTGTCCTATAATGGAAAAGTCCGAAATTTCGACTTCAAATCGCTGATTAGATTTTATGGATTTAATGTTAAAACTATTATGTGGTATTTCAGGGACATTCATCAGTTTTATTCTTAGAAATAATCAATGAATAAGGTAAAAATATTTACATTTCTTTCCAGACCTCACCCACCAGCTCAGCCCTGAGTTTAGCTAGTACAGCCATTGCAGATGAAATTGATGTGCTTCCAAGTAAGCGAATTACAGTAAATTATTTTATATGTATAAAACTGTAGTTTATTTCTTTACATGTTATTACCGCCTAACCGCTAGTGGACCTCTGCCCTCACAGTAAATGGACTCTCCCTTTCTTCTTTATACTCATATATTCTGACGAAAAAAAATAGTGGCTTGTGGGATTGGTAGTCTAAAGCTATGTAACCCCTATGTTCTCTAAACGGAAACAGAGGAACTGGGTTAAAGCCTGGATGTGCCTTCGGCCACGCAGCAAGACAGTCCTTTACTTCCTAAATATATTTAGGAGGTAATGCATAGTCTCGTTAGGGTCTTTATAAGGAGTTGAGGGAAATCTGCGTTACCTTATAGAACAGTAGCACAGTGTGTTAAAAATATTTCAATATGCAGGACGCTAAAAGGTGGCAAACATGCCTTGATCGATTCGGTATAGTATCAAGGAAAAGGAAGTCAGCTGTTGACATGTTTCCTGGAAACAGTGAAGCGACTTCTGACATTTCGTTACGACGAAAGACGTTAATCCAAGAGCAGAGTTATTGCTTAAGCCATACTTTGAAAGAATACCTGTAAATAAGAAAAATTGCTTTACGATGGGTTCTACATCATCTAACGGAAATGCAGAAATGGCTACATCGCGATGCTGCTAATCTCGATGTAGTTCATGGAGTTTTATGAACACGTAAGAAAGCTTTCTTGCCACTATACCATTACGTTGAATGAGAGACAGGCCATAAAAAATTGCACGACAATCCGATAAGTTGCGTCTTTCCGTGTCTTAATGAAAATCAGAACTTCAACAGAAACCCTGAATTGAAAATTTTATACTAGTTCTTGTGTACGACTGTCATGGTAATATTGTAACACCCAAGCGTTCTCTTATGGATCGATCATCAGGGCGCAGTATCACTAATTTTTGGAATATAATCAGCGACTGGATTTTCCAAAGAAGTGGTGAAATTTCTGGAGAATTCTTCCATCATTTTATAGAACCATTTTACGCAGGGAATTAAGAACACCTGGCACAGATTGGCTGATATGTTAATTCATTGGGGCTAGAACATATCTTGCCAACCTGCACACTGCCTAGACGTTAAGTCCTAATGACCCTAACTTAATTTCTAACAGAAGAAACCACTGTTTGGCATTTTTTCTGAACTGTCCTTATTAACAGAACACCGTGAAATCAACGGATCATATGCTTCTACAGGAATGCTACGACTCTTATATCGTTGGCGAAAGGATTGAACACGAAGCTCGTGTTTCCATAAAAAGAGCGAAAAAAATTCAGAGACATTTCTTTTCTATATTGTCCATTATCATGTAAACGATAGAATCAGTTTACCCAGGTTATAATCTCAGCGAACGGCTGGCTGCTTGTGAGTTTTTTGGTTGTCTGAATGTGTAACGTTAACACAAGACGGCTTTCCATAAAAGTCCTACACGAAGGCATCCCTCTTCTCAAGGCTTTGTCTTAATTCAATCTAATAAAGTTCAGCTCTTTTATATCATTTGTAAATCAATACTTATAACTTATTTAAGTTCTAACCTACACACTTCTCGAGATCGCTTTGGGAAATTCTTAAAATAAAATAAATAGATAAATAATTTTAAAATGTCCTATTGGAATGAAAGAGAAAACAAAACTCGCGCAGTGTAAAAGCAGAATACTTTGATCTGCTTTGAGTTAGAAACATATTTAGCAGTTTCTTTTGAAAAATTTTAGACATTATCCACAAGTTACGTTACTGCGCGTTTATCACCTGACAAGTAGTTCTATTACATGATGCATAATATCTTAAATTTCTCTACTGGTATGCTGTTTAAAACAGTCTATTCATAAAGTAGTGTCATCCTGCGAACGTAACTCATAACGCATCTTTCAAATTTAATCATTTTTAATTTCTTAACAAACGAAGTGTTAAAAGCAATAAATGCATTTCTTAAAAATGTTTATCTTCGTTTTAGTTTTTTGACAATACAGATAACTGGCATTATTTTGCAGAGATCAGGTAAGCATTAAGTCAAGAAACATGAAAAAATAACAATGCTAGATTCGAACTCCAACTTTTCAAGTTGTCAGCTGGACATAACACAGTACGAAAGCATTAAATTGTTTTATTATTTATAATAAACATAATTTACTGGTGTAGCTGTTACTTTTTTGAGCATGTGCCAGGATTACTGAAATTAATAAACGTGTTTCTAATGCTACGTGTTATTTAGGGGACAGAACTGTTTTAATGTTTATTTAAATTTAGTTATTTAATTGTATTAGAAATTTATAGCATTTAGCTTACAATACTGAGAGTTTTTTTCCATTAAAATACAGTCTAATGATTCATGTGATAAATAGATTTTGCTTTTAATTTAAAAAATACCATAGATGAACAAAATTGCTTTCACGTCTGTTTTGCGCTAAACGGGGGAATTTTCGGCAACATCAGACTCTTACTAATTTTACCTCTACGTACTTATTTTGCCGTTAAGTTAAAGTAATCAAGTTTTTTTTTTTTTTTTTTTTTTTTTTTTTTTTTTTTCTGAAATTATTACGGATAAGATAATTTCGCACACTGGTGAAGGAGAAAGACAATTTATATAACATAATCTTATTACTTCAAACAAGTAATACTCTTAGATGTGCTTTCGACAGCTATTATTTATCACATTTTAACAACCACTCATATTCTACGGTCCAACGAATGTCTTTGAGAATATGCTATTAATATGTTTATTTATATTCTCAGAAATGTTCTTCACTTTAAAAATGTCGCCATCGGAAATTTCATTACGTTTACGATGGAAATAAGTACTTTATCGCTGCAAGTTGTTACAGAATTTTAAGAAGCATTATTATTACGGTAAAAATCTCATATGGTTTCCCTGAATTTCAATCTTAAACACAGGCATCTGATTAACTTTTAAGGTATTTTATATCTTTCTATTAAATATAATTCTTTGACTAATTTTATTAACAGATAATTCGTCTTCATGATTTTTTTTTTTTTTATTTAAGCTTTTTTTTCACTCATTTGAAATCTACAACATTGTTCTCAAACTGGCACATTAATTTTAAACAGTTCCGCGAATACATTTCGTGTACATTAAGTCATATTACCGCATTTATTGTCATGAAAAAAAATGAAAAACGTTTAAGATATGGCTATGTGTGAATTTGATTTTATTTATATTTTCATTACCAAAAACGAGCATGAATAACGCAGCAGAAAATAACAGATTTGGGTGGCTTTTCTTCGTACTCCTCAAAAGCAAATGAGAAATAACGTCGGCTAGTTTCAAATTTATTCTTCTTTTAAAATGTCAAATATCATGTAAACAAGCTGTAGCTTGAAGGATAGGTTTTTGTGCTTCTAATCCATAATTCAAAACCGTTGTGAATTGCATGATTTATCCTCAATTTCACTGTGTATTTCATTTAACTCTGGGTATATAATTAACAGTTCATTTGACAGAGTTACAGAGTGAGATTCAATCAACTTATTGCCATCTTCGTTGCTGACGTAAAGTTCAATAGGCTAACTATTTAATTTCTGATAGTTTCCGAAATTTCTTCAATATTTATAAAATAGTTCATTCTTTTTGGGTATAATTTTTTCCTGAAACCTTTTATTTCGGCCATGAGTTTTCAGTATTGTTCATTGTATTCCATATGTTAGTTCTTTTAAAAATCTCTTAATATAGGGCCATGTTCTTTGCCAGTTCCCTTGATGGCTTAATTCCTTATTGTTGCTTATACAGGGTGGACCAAAAAAGACCTATCAATGTTAAAAACAAAGACTCCCAGGCGGTATAGTGGTCAGGGAAGCTGACTGCGATGCCGAAGGACCTGGGTTCGAATCCCGGAGAAGGCATGGTTGTAACTGCCCGTCCTTTCATAGGAAAGGCGATGGTGGCTCACCTATTAGGGGCCTCCATAATAAAGAGACCACCACATCCGGCCTTGTATACATTAATGGGCTGGGTTACATTTGTAATTGTTCACAATCTGCTATTGGAAAAAAATTGTTAAACACAAATAACTTTTTTATTTTTTGATATAATTATTTTTTTTTCTTTTTGTAGGTTATAATTGAATTCTTGGAAATTTATTATGGAACCATACAGTACAAAACAACGGCGTTAAAATTATCGAGTTTTTCTATTCTTGTCAACTATCAATTGTTATGACGCAGCGTAAATATCGGCAATATTACATCGGCAAGTGTATTGTTTGGTGCGATGTTAGGGCCAATAGAGCTATCGGCTCATATTTCTTCGAGAATGAGGATGGAACGCCGGAAACGATTTTCGGAGCTTCTTACAGAACAATGATTGAAAACTTTTGCGGCCAATGGCGGAGCAGAATCCTTTTATGAGGATATTTAAAAGACAAAGTATACTTTAATAAACCAGAGAGTATTAGACAGTTGAAGTGGAATATTCGAAACAAAATACTGAGCCTTCGCCAGAAACATTACGTGGTGTAATGGAAAACCCGTTAAAAAGAGCCAATCTCTGTATCGAGAAAAATGGTGAACACTTGTCTGATGTCACATTTCATACGTAATTTCCATAACATATATTTAATGTATAAAACAATTAATCAAAATAAATGATTATTACAAGAGTTATCATGTTTAACATTAGTAAGTCTTATTTGGCCCTCCCTGTATAATATTGTTTAATGTAGCTGTCACTATTTGAACCATGAGCTCTATTGAGGCAGGTAATATTGAATGAAGAAACATAACACCGATTTTCGGATATAGTTTCTGCAGACATTTTGGGTGTCGGAGAGCATTATCTAAGATTAATAATACTTTGAATTGTAAATTTTTATCTTTGCAACACTGCTTAATTGCTGGGACGAAACAAAAAATGAACCAGTTGTTAGGTATTAACGAAGTAACCCAGGCCTTTTAATTTCTAAAGGAATGGAAAGAATTCTTTAGTTTTCCTTTTCAAGGTTCTGGGATTCTCTGAATGATAAAGTAGCATTGGCTTCAATTTTATATCACGATTTTTGAAATATCGACAAAAATCTTGTTGAAAAAATGTAATGTTTGAAAATGTGGAAAATAGCGAATGGTGCGAAATACGAGGAATAAATAATTGTGGTCTCAGATTGTTGTGATAATCACAGTTCTACTTAGGTGAGTTTAGAAAACGCCAGTTACGTTATGTGTTACAAAAGTATTTTCACTCTGCAATCTTTGTTGAAAATTTACAGGCGTATCAAACAACGGTTTCTGTAACTGTACATATTCCCGGCAAGCGAACAACTCTATCTCATTCATTCTCAGTAACTCTAACAATAAAGGAAGCAAACAAATAATTTTCTCGAAATCTTATCTTGAAAGTTTACAGATGTATCAAGCAAAGGCATCCGTATTTGCAAGCAAGCGATTTTGTGTCCGATTCATTCTAAGAGAATTCTTCTCGGAACCTTATCTTAGAAGTATAAGGAGACACCAAGCAACTATCTCCCTATTTGGTCGCATAAAAGGAACCAGAAAAGTAGCATAAAACCGAAAAACGAAAAAGGAAATATATATAATAATAATATATTGTAATGTATATAAAAGAATTATTTAGTGTAATGTATATAAAATAATTATATGATACAACTGGGAAAATAATCTTTGTAGCATCGTCTTAAATTGCCTTGCTATGGATCAGTATCTGGTCTGCAGAAGAAAGATAACTCAGTTATCCTGATGGGTTATGTTATCCTTTAACATGGATATCTGAATTCTGTTGCAGTGATTTGCTAAAAAAAAAGTAATAAAGATCATGCACTATAAATGATAGCCTATAAAAGTGTGACATAATGTTTAAAGAAAGACCAGGTTATGTTAGAGCTTTCGAATATGACAAAGCACGCAACAGCTATGTGTCTTAATGGGATAGATACCTTAGTAAAGGGTCTTTTTGTTTAAATTAGTTCATATTTAAGTTACGCATGGGGAAAACCTACTAAGCAACCACCCCGTTCGCTTAGGACTGAACTTCCAATATTCAACAATTAGCTGTTACTGGCGGAGCTAAAGAGAAATCAGAGGCCATGCTAAAGCATCGTTAGCCATAGTGTTTTTCCCTATGTGTAATAGGAATAAAAGTAAATTTCACTTAAAATATAATCCACGAAAAGATCCAAGACATCCGAGCCTTTACCGTAATATAAATCTAGTAAGCGCTGTTTAGTGTAATCATGCTTGTTCACGCTTGCTTTAACAACATTAACCGGATGATAGTATTAAACAACAAGAAAAATTATACTTCAAAATCGAAATCGACTAATTTAATGCAACTGATTTAGATAATTTAATATAAATATAATTAGAAACATATAAACAGGTCCTTTCTCTGCGTTTTAATAAGATAATACAAGCTATTTATGAACTTCCCATAATGTCTTAGACGCAAAAGTTCCTTTACAACGTTTTGACAAGGTTTCTGGAAATTATTGTACCCTTAATCTTAATACTTAGAGGACATGCCTCACTGGAAGAGAGCATGCCAATGGTAAAATTTAAAATTAGGTGAAGACGAATTTTTTTTCAGGGACGAAATGTCTACAAAAATGTTTTTGCTCCTGATGAAGAGACACCAGTATCTGATCACCATCAAATCGATAAAGTTATTCAAAATATATGTCAAATTATGGTTGATTTCTTGTCTAATTTTAAATGGTTCAATGAAATCGAAACAAAGTTGTCTATCGACTTAATCGCTTGCCAACATTTCTCTGTCAAGTGGCAATTTTTATTATCCATTTTCACTTAATTTGGCGTCATTATCTTTTCTTTGGCGATTTTATTTAAGTTTTAAAATATTTATTTTATATTATTTTGATCACAGTAATTGAATTGTTAATAACAATATGCCATGCATTTTCGTATGCAAACTGACGAAACTTCGGTAATTCGATAATAGTTTTCGAATGATAACGTTAACCGCGATCACATAAATCTGCGGCTACTGTCATCCTAATCTTTATGGCTGTCCGTGGAATCAGGTCTCAAATTTCAAAAAGGAGGTATAAAATCTCGTATTCTTAGAAAGCATGAACTAACGAGATGCTAGAAGACTGTGTGAGGAATTATCCTCAAGTCATAAGCACAAGTAAGTAAGTCGAGAGAAGGGTGTAAAGAACCCTTTATTAACTCAATACCTTTCACAGATGGCACCAACTCGGGCTTACAAAAGCCAACACTTTGGGCTTAACTCAAAAGGTAAAAGGTAACCTAAAATAAAATAGAATTAAATTAGCCTAACGGCCTTTCACAGGTTGCTTAATGCTTAGGTAGGCTGTGACTCGTAAAAGTCGGCTTAAACAAGCCTAATGACTAGAAGCGTTCAATGCCATAGAAATCTAATCGCTTGTAAGTCAAAGATAGTAACATGGTCTTCAAGCAGGCAGAACACGCTTTCCTCTCTTTTTGAATTTGCTTTCCAAAACCTTCCCTTAAACACTAACTTCGCCCACCAGCGGCCGAGCGGTAACGTCGCTGAACACTGGTAGTTCGGTCCCAGGTTCAATCCCGCGAACGGGCTGGCTGCATGGGTGTTTTCGTGGTTTTCCCCATGTGTAACGTGTATACGAGCCAGTTTCCCTTAAAAAGTCCTCCACGAAGGCATCCCTCCCTTAAGGCAGATAGCCCTCGAGTGCTTTGCCGTAATCTAATAAACCAAACCAAACCTAAACACTAACTTCTTTCTACCTCATTTGAATACACGAGCGCTAATTCATTATCATCCTAGGAAGTTATGCAGAGAAACTGACTCTGAAGATTCAAGAGTTTTAACTGTGTACTTCATTTGCCAAATTTCCTTTGCGTCTTCTTGTAGGTGTTTTAAGCAAGAACACGGATCCATAAATCTTCAAAAAAAAAAAAAAAAAAAAAAAAAAAAAAAAAAAAAAAAAAAAAAAAAAAAAAAAAAAAAAAAAAAAAAAAAAAAAAAAAAAAAAAAAAAAAAAAAAAAAAAAAAAAAAAAAAAAAAAAAAAAAAAAAAAAAAAAACGGCATAATCTTAAATTTGCTTCCAGTTCTAAATACATCTTTCATATTTTCTTTTAACTAAAAACATTTTAAGTAAAATCTTCCTATTCTTCAAGAAATTCGAGATCCTTTCAGGATTCGGATTAGAGAAAATTTAGGTTTTTGTCTTGCTTCTTTGTGCCAGTGCATATTTGTGTCAATCTGTTAAACTTTTATCAGAATGAAATGCTAGGGAGTTATAGAAATGCCGTATTCTTAATAAACTTCTTTAAATGTTTAGCCAAGCCACAAAGACACACTGGAGATGAACAACCGGTTGCAGTTAATACAGGTAGTGTTCAACAGATTAAAGAGGACAACACACTCGCTGTAGACTGTGGTACCAGCTGTGTTATCTCTTTGGAGAAGCCTCAGAATCATTCTTCAGAGAACACTGATCAGGACAGCATGCCTCCTGCTGCATACTTCGAGCATTCCGATGATAGTATGAGAAGCCTGTCTGGATGGAGCCAAGTGTTTTATACCTATCAAAGATGTTCTGAGATTATAGTTGTATCAAGTGAGTCAGTTTCATTATTCAAAGAAATCTATGAATACATAAAAATGTACTGTTACTTTCAATTTGCGATATAAATCCTATTCATTTCAGATAAAAATCAAAACCATGAAAATTACTTGATTCCAACTGGCAATACATTAAAGCACAAAGTAAATTATTGACAAAACATGCTGTTTAATTGTCAATGCATTAAAGTTCATCAGAGTAAGAAAGTGATTCATTTAAATCTTTATTTTTAGTAGCATTCAGCAAGAGTGTTAGTGTTATCCTATACCATACGTTCTATGAGTAAAATATGCATGTAATATGTTTTATTCTATCGATATCAAGCCAGAGTGGGAAGATTGCGCAGAATATGAGCGTCATCCTAGTGAAGAGAATTATAATATCTCCCATACCACAGCCTAAGCTCAAGTTGGAAGATCAGACAGTATCTGATATTATGTGAGATAGTTTACAATAAAGTGTTACAATTCTTAAAGTTATAAGTGCTAAAAAGAGGTATGTCCATTGCATTAGCACAATTATGTATTATATATATAAGCAGATATAAATAAATTAATATATTATGCACACAATCTGTAAAAATGCGCTTAAAGATTACACACGAGTCGCCAATATAATAAGAATGCACTCGATACATTACAACATGGAGGTGAACTTAGTCAACAGACAAGCAATGCATTCCTCTGCCTACTCATTCCCCCCATACACTCCTGGGTACACGTATGTATATGTTAACCTATGAAAAATGCATACATGCATATAACTATACTAACCACACACATTCTAGAGTACAGGGGTAGCAGGTGACGGAGGACGAGGGCGCCTGATGTTTAGCATAGGTAAACAGGCATATGCCCCGCGTCCTCCACTATCTAGTGGCAACAACTCCCTGGAGCCTCATGAGGCTGCCTCGGAAGTTTATTTGGATATTAATGAGAAAGTTACATGGCCATACAAGGGCGGTTGACATAGTCTACATTACAAATGATGTGTATGGCATTTGAAAGTTTTAGGATTACAGTGGTAACAGGAAATTAAAAAAAAAAGGAGGTGGCATACTAATATAAGACATAATACTCATAACAACATTGAATAAACTGAAACACATAACACTTATAACATGTAGAACATACAGTACACATAAAAACACTTAAAATACACAGAAGATACTCACAGACTACTAAGCAGAGTACTAATAATGCATTCATATGATGATGTTAAGACAGCATCATATGAATGCATTCTAGAGTACAGTGGAAAAAAATTTATATATATATACATAAATATACTGGACACACCTTTTCTAGATTATAGTAAGAATTCAAAAGTACATACACACGCATAACATACTAAACAAAATTTTTAAAATAAAAATAGAATAAAAGTGGAAGAAAAAGAAATCATATACAGCTAGGGTTTTCAACGCCCTGGAGAAAATGAAGATTTCGTACCCCTTCCTGTTTGCCAAGAATGAAAAACATTTAATTCTTAAATTTCGTAACATCAATTTGGAGCCCCCTGTATGATATATCCCTTGGGCCCTCCGTCTAGCTACGTCACTGAACTGAAGTGTCCCTAATACAATGAAATTATGTACAAAAAAACTGTATCTAATTGTAAAAGTTAATAAAATTACTAGAAAATACTGGAGCAAAACCGTTCACAGCATAGCAGTGCCAATACTATAGACAAGAGTGCCATAAATGAATTGCATAAGCCCTAGGTAAAAGGAGTATTTAAAACTGGAGTATTGAGGGAAACTGATCTGAGGAATGCTTACAGTGTTTTCGGCCCATGTCGAAAAGTGGCCTGTCGATTTCTTGATATGTACGAAGCTTGTTTAAGTGCAGTCAACGATTAGACGATTAGGGCTGCTGATGTGCCACCACGGCACTGATTTACTGTCTCTGCGGCAAAAACGATAACACCCCATCTTGCTCGGAAAGACGACCCCGTCTTGCTGTCAGCATGAAACCTTTTGTGGTTTTTCAGATGTGCACGAAAGCATCCCCTCTCTTGGGCAGATAGTCCTGACATGCTAGGTTATAATTTAAATATTCCGTTCATTCCATCCTCAAAGAGTTCTGGTTCTGCTTCTTGTGTATATTACCTATGTTCAAAGTAAAATCGAATAAGTAAAGTTGGTATTTTGAAGAAACATATAGATAGTAATGCCATAAGTATATTCCCTCCTTTAATTTTATTCAGAGAGTAATGTACCTTTCAATATTCTGATATTTTTCTTTTCGAAAAGAAAATGCAGAAACAAACGCCAGAACTTTAAAATTGAAATTATTTTATAGTGGAGTTTTAATTTAAGAAGCGATAACAATTTTTATAGTGAAAGCAGACAACGAAGTAAAGCGAGTACTATCTATCGATAAAAGCAGAAATGAAAAGTCAAAAACTAAAAAATTAAAAATCTAAGAGAAATATGAGGGGCTGGACTCGAACTAATGCAAATTAACTAAGCTGGTAAATATTTTCGAATGCAAAAAGCTATTTGGAAGCTCATTTCACTAAGCTACGAAGCTCTATTAATGATTTTTGCAAACCAAATTCAAAATTGTGATTAAGTGTCCAACTATAATTATTGATTGAAGATTTGTCTAATTCTCCTTTTCGAACACAAGATTCATGATTCTGGATGAGAAAATTTCACTCCGTTTTAGTTTTGCCAATGTTTTTGTTATCATTGTTTATGTATATATTGATAAATATAAAGTGAAATTTAAAATTTATTTTATTTTTTATTTACATATTAATTTTTATTTCATTAATTATTTATTATTATTTTATTTTTTATTAATTTTTATTTTGCTAAAAATGTTTTTAAATTTTATCACAAAATTTTCTTGCTGTTCAGCTATTTTCAACATTCTGCATCAGCATTTCAGCATAGAGTATTGTGTCCGCATGCAGTTTGAGTTTTAGACCACTAAACTACAAAATTGCTCGAACTTTCCTTAAGTTCAACTCGCAAGTAATTTCCTCACCTATTAGTAAAATTCGTTGTTCATAAAGATCCCAGATCTGATTTAAATTCTTGAAGACTTTATAGCAAATCTTTTCAGTGAGGTTTGTTCGGCACTCAGCATTATACAGAACACGTATTAGTCCCGCACAGAACACTAATTATTTATAACATATAATTATATTTATAACATTATGGATTAGTACGTTAAACTCGAAACAAAGTACTGGAAACTTTCCATGTTGCCCGCTTGACACTTCTTTCAGCTTCGTCTGCAGAATCGGTAAATTATGCATAGAATCAGAATACACGTATTTTCACGAACACTAATAACAATTGAGTAAGAGACAGTGAATTTTTTTACAAAGAAGTTTTGATAACCCTCAACAAAATGTTACGAACTAGTCGAGCACTGGCATAATTAATTACTGCTGAGTACTGCAGGAGGTATCTTCGTGGATGTCTTCGAGGATCTTCAGGAAATGATATCTCCGGAACACTTTAACTATGAGTTACTCCGGAACACTTTAACTAACTAACTTTAACTATGATCAACCACTGTACTATGAGTTAAATATCTTTTATTCATCTTTTCTAATTTAGACCTTGCTCTTTCAGAATTCCTCCTTCCATTCCAGTTCCTCCTTCTGGCGATGCCCATTTCTGCAGGTTTCATGGGTAAGTACATCACTGCAAGGAATTTGTTGGCCCTGTGTTTTAAAAGTGTCCTTTGCAACAAATGAGCAAATATACTTAAGGGATAACTTTGTTTTTCAGCCGCCAAATATATGGATAAGTGTCCTTACGGCGTAGCGATTCCTATTCTTATGTTCATGATGGGAATCATAGGCACCGCTGTCATTCTGTGTCGGATGCTTCTCATTATCAGGAAGACCCTTCTGCCTCTCTACCCCGACTGGTGGCTCCTTCGGACCATTATTATATTCGGAAACTTACTCCTGATTTTGTTTCTGTGCACAGGTAAGGACAGAACTTGACCTTATATTGAGCATTGAGTCGGTATGGATATAAAGAAACCAACTCGTGATCGACGATATAATTCTTTAAATGACGCTACATAGTACAAGTCACTCGAAGTCGAATATAATATATACTCAAATATAATATATACAATGTGCAGTCGAATATAATATATACTTAAAACCTTTTTTACTAACTACAGTACAATTTCAAATGCTACTAAAACTCATCAGTTGGGTGTTTTATAAATGAAATATATTTAAATTTATAAAGATCAGGTGTATATGTTCATGCTAATTGGCATTTGGGTATATTATAAATCAAATATATTTGAAATTGCATCAGTTAGATCTATTATTAAAAAGTGAAATAATTTAAATTTTAAGGACGTGCATCAGTTTTATTTACCAGTTACAAATTTATTTAATTTTCGAGATAAGTTTAAAGGTCTTATACGAAACCTGGTGTTCATAAAAACATTATGGATTAGTATTTTGAATGATAAATTTTATAATATCTGCACAAAAACGTAAAATGCAAAATAAGTATTAGGATAATGATACCAAAACTAAGGCTCTAAATGTTAGCTTGTGGTCACTGTACGATTGATATAAATATATTTTCTACTAAAATGATGTCAAGAAATGTTTTAAGCGCCCGAAGTTTGAGAGCCTTCTAAGAGAAGCATATTAAACGCAACAGGATGTTTAGCAAATAGCATAAAAAATCACCTATAACATCTACGAAGAGACGATCTGCAAATTTTTACAATCCGCTGCAGCAAGTTATTCATATTAAGTCCGTGCTTTTGTTTTTGGAATGAATTCGTTGTAGAAGCCTTACTAACAGACTATACAGTGGTGGCTAAAATTGTGGACACTTTTGGAAATTTTTATGTTTTTGAACTTTGTATGCTTACAGAAAACGTTACGTTTTACAAAATGCAAACTTGTATATATCATTTTAAAGAGAATTTATTACTGAATTCAATACAAAACACAAAATTCAATTATTTGCAATACAAAAAAGTTAAACGATAATAGTTATCGATATACATTAGATAGTGATGATTGCAGTGAGTTATCAGTACTTAGTAGGGTACCCTTTATTTTTTATTACAGTTTCACATCGATGTTTCATTGAGCTGACAAGAGTTTTAAGCTCTTCTTTCGGTATTACATGATGCCAGGAAACAATTATAGCCTCAATTAGTTCCCTTTTATTTGATGGCCGCCTCATTCGGACAAGAGTTTTCAAACGGTGTCACAAATTTTCGATAGGATTGAGGTCAGGATTGTTTCCTGGCCATGACAACAATTTAATGCTCTTTGTACGAAACCACTCTTTCGATATTTTGGCCGTGTGGCAAGGAGCAGAATCCTGCTAAAAAATAAACGAAGCATTGTTGGGAAAGAGATCTCTGATGGAAGGTAGAAGTTTTGGTTCTAGAATAGTGTCAATGTATTTTCTGGCATTCAGTGTCCCATCGATGACATGAAGGCGACCAATACCATCTGCTGCCATGCATGACCAAATCACAACACTAACTGGGTTCTTCACAGTTGCTTGAGTGCAGTCAGAATGTAGCTCTTCTCCTATTCTACGTCTTACATATTTTCGCCCATCACTACCGAATAACGATATCTTAGTTTCATCACTCCATATAACTTGTGACCACTGATCATCTGTCCAATTAATGTGTTCCTTTGCCCACTGTAGTCTTTTTTTTTCGTGGAATTCTACCTCTCAGTCCAACATCTGTTAATCTTCTCCTGATTGTTCTTGAATTGACAAACACCGGCATCATTCAGATCACCTCTGATGGCCGCTGATGACATTTTTCTATCTTGGAGACATAGTCTTTTTATTCTTCTGTCATCAATAGATGTGGTGGACCTTCTTCGGCCTTTTCCTTCTTGGTTTTTTATTGAATTTGTATCCTGATATCGTAAACAAAACTTTCGGACTCCAGATGTAGTCACTGAACCACCCACCTGTCTTGCAATTTCAGCATAGGAAAGACCACTTTCTCGTAACACAATAATATTACATCTCTTTCTAGGTGTCCAATCTATTCTTTTATTTGATTTCATTGCTTCTTGACTAAATATTAAAACTTTTTACAAAAATTCCTACTTGTAATTGCAGTGTATAAGAAACAGGTCCTCCTTCTACAGAACAAAGCAAAATAATGAATGTTTCAAGTGTGTAAACATGATGTCAGCTTCTACTGGCAGTTACTAACATTTGACTGGTTCTCAGAACAAGAACAGTGATTGGCCAGGAAAGCTAGACATTACAAACCACTTCATAACTGTGTTTTTTATTTATATTAAAGTACATATAACTTTTTTTGTATTGCAAATAATTGAATTTTGTGTTTTGTATTGAATTCAGTAATAATTTCTCTTTAAAATGATTTATACAAGTTTGCATTTTGCAAAACGTAACATTTTCTATAAGTATACAAAGTTCAAAAACATAAAAATTTCCAAAAGTGTCCACAATTTTGGCCACCATTGTATATGCAGCATTCTGACAAGTAGTATTTTGGACGCAGCTTGCGATGCACGCTATCTTACGTAATACAGACAGCATAGCTTCAGAAATATATATACAGTATACTCTTGATTATACGTACTAATGTCAAGAAAGCAGGTAGCGGATAACAGATACAGATAATCGAAATCAATTTTCATGTCTTCTGCATGTGCTTATTTCTTTAAAAAACAGTAATTTTACTTTATATTTTAAAATATTTAAACATTTGTAGAATTTTACTGCTTATTTTTCGAGGTGCCATTTTATCACTATATTTGAAAACTCTTTGGCCGACGAAGTCTAACAGAGTTTGAACAGAAGTCATTGCTTTCTCCGGGCTAATGCAATTGACAATATCTCTTTCGATTGTTTTCAGTATCACTCTCTGCCTTTGCTGCTCTTGTGATATCTGAAATGATATCCGCATTACTAAAGTAGTGAAAGCCTGTGCAGAGGAATTGCCATCGAACCATTCCTCAACGTTTTCCCGATCGCCGTTTTTGAATAATTTTAGGTTTTTGGTATTTTTTGCCTCCATTTCTTCACAATTAGACAAGTCTCAAGTTTCTATATTAGGAAGAACCTATGTGCTCGGGTATGCAAGTGGTCTTTTTTTTAACTCTGTCGAGCATAGATTTCAGTGTACGTGCTTGGGCAGCGCCACACAGGGACAATCCACAAACCCTATAATCCGTATCCGGATATTCGAGAGTACACTGTATTTCGAAGTCATTAAGTACATTATACGTTTTTTTCCCCTTAACATACTTCCGGAGCCTTGATGTCTGGTGATTGTTTTTATCAAATAATTAACAGTATATACCAACATGTGATTGTTCAAACTGAAAGCGATTGAAATCTCCCGATAATTTCGCTGAAATTAATGTAACCGTATAATATACCTGAAGAACTCGACAGCCAGACAGCGAGATTTAGATCATTACGCTGAAATATTTTTCATCTTCGTAAATATAAAACTTTTTTAACTTTTTTGTACTTTGTATTATACTTCATAAGTAGGAACGTCATGTCTGGGAGAAATCTGCGACCACCTTCCGAGTTTTATTTCGGAAATTTAAAAATCAAACTTCACAGAATGGGAAAACATTTTCTAGGAACATCTTATAAAGGTTACACTTTATTATTTTTTACGTTAATAATGTTGTAATTGTAATGGTATGTGTAATGTTATTATGTAATACTGTATTACACAATAACGCAGTTTTCATTTTCCCAATAGTTAAAATTTGATCATAAAAATATTTCACACTCTCACAGTCAATATCTGATCAAATACGGTGCAACATAAAATTTATAGATGTCTTTAATAGAATAAGACAAAGTATGTGAGGGCTACCTGCCTAACAGGATAGAATTTCTAGAAGAAACAGACTTGTATTTTTTTACACATGAAAAAGTACTAAATGTTCATACAGTCTATAACGAGGGAATTAGATCGCTGCAGATTCTAGAAACTTTTAAAGTTATCCAGGTATTCTGCTAATTTTATCTCAGTAAATAGATATTACAGGAGCAAATAGATTTTACAGAGATTTAAAATACTTTTAACGTATTATTGTTAACTCTTGCCAAAATGAGGGTTACATCATTAATACATCACGGCAGAATCGTGTTGCACAAAATGTCATTTTCTATGGGAAAAAAGTGTGGTTTCAAATTTAAAAAATATAATTTAAATAAATCTAAATATTACTGTGATTAAAATGAAAAACTAAACAGTCATTTTTTTTTAATAAAATGCTGATGATTTTTTTCTGATGACAACAATTGACACAACCCTTTGAAAGCTTCGCGTTACGGAGCCCAGAGTTTTTCAATACCTCTCATAAATCATTCCTCATTTGGGTCTCCACCTCCAGTGTAAAATCAGGCAGTTCCTGCGCCTTTTTAACAATGTGTTTTACTTCTTGTAAATTAAATGGTCTTCACTATATCTGCTTTCATTGTCCATTCTTCATTCATCATTATTCACTCCATTAATTCTTTTATTTCTCCTTTCATTTCCATGTCAGTAAACCGTTCCTTGCTTTTGCAGTTTGTACGATTTTTTTACTTCATTTTTCAATCGATGAAAATTATTTAAAATACTTTTGCCAGAGCTGATGCCAGTGGGCATTTAGGATTGATGAATGAATGTTGAATTTTGTATTAAAAAACCTCTAGCGTTGGAAAAATTAAATGGAACAATTAAAATAACGCTTCGTAAATCTGCATTGGGAAAAAGTTTGCTATATTGACTGTCAGATGTATTTCTTATTGGAAAAGATTTGAATAGTTAATTTCTTTTTTTGCTGTTAACTCAGAAGTATCGCTTTGTGCACTAAATGGACTGCTAAACACTTGTAGGTTGTTGACGAATCGAGCGTCGGGACGGGGCAGGTTGTTTGTTGATTTTGCCTTTTGTCCCTTATTTAATATGAATATAGGTCACACGAAGCAGATAAAAGAAACTCCGAGGTATTAGTGATTGAATAAGAATATTAAACAGTAACAGTTCGACTCGGGCTCATGTTTCGACAAAACGACTAACTACATAAGGTTTTCGTAATGTGTGTAACATGCATCAGAGCCAGTTTTCTTTAGAAAGCCATTTATGAAGTTGTGCTTCTCTTTAAGCAGATATCTTTTGTTACCTGCATCCTTTTATAAGCATTCTTTGTCTTAATCAAGTTAGCAACCTTAAGAAAGTAATCCACAAAAGCAAGGTTGCTAAGGCAGATAGTCTCGCAAACTTTGCTATCATCGTTTCACTGACCAGAAAACTTACGTACGTAACAAATTTCATAGTCTCAAAACTGATTTTTATTTTTTTTTAAAGCATAAATTTTCCCAAGCATGATTTTGATGATAATAATCTTCTTATTTTTTCGCAGAGATGCTGTCCTTCTTCCGTTCAAAACCAAGTTTCGACCCTTCATCTCCCCATTACTGTCATGAGGTATTTTACTTCTTTACTTACTGGATAAACTGGGCGACTGTATTTCTTGTTCTTTTAGTCACATTCCTCCATGCTCCGTCTTGTACAATGGACAGTTTACGAACTGATGATTTCCACTGACCTGAATTTATGTGAATTTTAAAGATTTACTGCGTTTTGTACCTAATAGATTTGCAATAAAAAGTACCTTCTGTTGTTTACGTTTCTTCGTATTTATCTACACATAAAACACAAATATAAGGAAATTTAACGCTACAGGACAACATAATTCTATATAAGGGTACTGTTTTAATAAGATCAGGCAAAAAGGTAAGATTTTGTATGAGTAAAGATCTTGTTAAAGTTTCGATTTCACCATTTTGTATTCACTGGTATAGAAATTTTGTTTAATCGATTAATTAAGGCAAGGCACACGACAGACATGCCTAACGGGCAAGTCCTTCGTGAAAGCATTTCTAGAAAAACCGGCTCGCATTCACGTTAGACCTAGGAAACCATGGAAAGTCAACTAAATTTTGTCAAGACTTTCCCTGGGAAAACTCAAACTGCAAGTATTCTGCAGTTTTGTGTAGCTGGTTAGCATAGAAGCATCATGTACAATGCATCATAATTATCGATAATTCCAAATTCTTTATATATATTTGAATGAGAACTCTCTTTCAATACCTTAGTGCTTGCCCCTAAAGTCAAAATCATTGGTTATTTGAATATAGCAAACCACACTGTGGCTGTCTGCATCTGATGACAAAAATTAACTGCATCGATTGAAAAATATTTCACTTCTTGGCTTTATTAAATTACTTTTGAAAATGTTATATTCTCAACAAGTCCATCTAAGATCATTTTAGCTAATATGTCGGACATCAGAGACTGACTGTGGACGGAGGGCATCAACTTGTAACTGTGCACGAGTTTGATTCCTCTTCAACGCATGGATGTTTGTTACTCCAGTGTCTTTGCGGTATAGGCTATTTAAAGCATGTTAATCTGGTAATAAGTTTTTCGGAGAGATTAAAAGTGAGATGATACTTTCATATCCTTTCCTTCTAGGATGCTCTCAATGAAAATCAGGTTGAAGTTTAGGCAGATAATGCATGTGTTGTTTGCATGTATTAAATAATCAAGTGCTTCAGAAGATGGTTGATTCAGGTAAACGCATAAAAATTTATGAGAGGAGTAGGTTTTAAAAACAAATCATAATTAATCTGGGATAGTATAGCAAGGCAGGGTCGAAAACATCACCTTTACGTGTTAGGGTACAGGGAGGATGAAAAACAAAACAGCTAAACCTAAGAAAACAAAGTTTTCACCGAAACGCAGTTCTTTTAATAATTCAAGAAACATCTACGAGCTGCCCTATTGTTTCAAAAAGTGTTCATGGTTACTACCATGGACTAAAACACAAGTCTGACATTATAAGCTCGTGTAATCAGGAATACTTTGAAATATTCTGATGTCTCAGTGACCGACTTTTACGGACTCTAGATGTCTCGGTGTCACTGCCGAGATGCGTGCAACAATGTCCTCATCACTTTCGACTGGAATGTCGTACGAGTAACTGCAAATGAAGAAATCGAAATAGATTAAGTTCTAGGATCTGGCAGACCTATGAACCCACATCTGATCCACTACTGTCCAATGTCATGTTTAAGAGATGGCGCTACTGAAATGGGAAAGAAATTTATGCCGGAAGAGCACTGCATGGCATAACTGCAAAGGGATCTTATATTATTCCTGTTTCAGGCCGCCTGATCGGGACAGTGGTTAGCGAGGCTGGCTTTCGTACCGATGGACCCCGGTTAAGTGCTGAGTGAAAGCAGAGCTGTTAGTAACAGTTTGCGTAGAATGGATACCCTTTCAAGTAGATTAGTGGGAGAGGAAGAAGGTGGGAAACCTACACCAGAATGTTCATCAAAACTAAAACGGAGCTGTAAAATTAGTACGGTGGACATATGTTTGCACAACCAATGCTGAAATTCTGGTATCCCGGCAGCTTTTACCTCTATCTGAGCTTTATGTGTAAAGTGCTTATCAGCCATCTCCGAATTTGTAAAGTCAATCATCTTCCTATGTCTAGGGACGGCTTACAAATGACGGTATTCTAAAAGAACATATGAGCAATCTCACGGCCAAGCAACGTCTTCTAAAGCATAAAGATGACGTTCCCGACCCGACATTGGTTTATGATTCCGATGCGCAGCCTTCCTCTTCCAAAGAAGTACAGGGGCCCATCGGAGGCCAAGCGGTAAAGTCACTCAACACTGAAAGTTCGGTCTAGGCCCCGAATTCCGGCGATTAGGCTGGCTGCATGGGCTTTTTTGTGGTTTTTCCTATGTGTAACATATATACGATCCAGTTTTTCTTACTACCATGAATGCATCCTTTCCGTTAGGCAAATAGCCCTCGAGGGCTTTACCATAACTAAATAAACCAGAATAAACTAAATGTTTACGCACAAAGTAATCACATTATTTAAAAAACGACTGAAGTGATTTCTCAATACATTTCGATCGAAACTATCATGTATATACTGAATTGCATCTTCTTCGCAAGAAATGCCCAACACTAAAATTTGAAGGCTTATTAAAATAACTAATGATAGTTTATGAAAAAAAGAAAATATGTGGAAATATCTATTTTTAAATCAAAAATCATCAATTATTTTGGGCCCATCAGCGGCTGAGAGATCGCTGAAGATTGGTAATTCTTGATTTCGATTCCAGGAGAACGAGCTAGCTGCATGGACATTCCCGTGGTTTTTCCCCATGCGTAACGGGGTTGCAGTCAGTTTCCCTTAGAAAGTACTCCACATAGTTATCCCTAATTAGTTGTTGTTTTTTCAAGTTGTTTCTGTATTTTTGAACTTCTTTAATTGAAGGAACTTAAGGCAAGTTTCAGTTCTCCGTTTAAGTAATAGTTGAGATGTTTTGCCCGGATAAGTTCCTTATTTTACAAGTAAATTCAGTTGATAAGGGACTGTAACATTATTTGATGTAAAATTGTTAAATGTGTATTTAAAAGGTTGAGTTTAAACTAACGCACTAGCTCTTTAATACTTTAAAACCTGATAGAATACAAGTGACAAAATATTAAATTAACATACATAGGCCAAAACAGCATTAAATTTCTTAAAGCCTTTCACATTCACGAAAAGTTTACCTTTCTAAGTTAATAAATATTATTTCTATTACAAATGCTTTCAAAATTCTAATTTCTGTTTTTCTAAACAGAAAGAGCTACGACTATTTTCTCGTTGCTCCGATCATCAATATTCCTACAAATTTTCTGTTGGTTGCTCACCTTTACAAAAAAAAAAAAAAAAACCCAAAGCCACATCGCCAATGTTATTCAGAATATATGTCAGTCTAAGCTACTTTTTTCCCATAAATTTAATAATAAATTTTATTTAGAACTTTTTTTTTATTATTCAATAAAACCCGTGTATTAATTAATTAATCCGCGTATTAATTAATTACAGGGTTCTGTAATTAATTAAGATACGGAGCTGAAAATGTCTTTTATTAATTATTGCAATATGTCAGCAGTTGGTAAAAGTCATTAACTGAATGAGTTAGTATCTTAAAGTTAAAAGTTATTAATAAAATATGCAGGGTGCTTGTTTTTAAACTGACACTACTCAGAACTCGATCTATCAGCTGGAATGTTACCAAATTTGGGAGAAGAATAAATGATGACATGAGGAAACAAATTCCGTGGAAAAAATATATTAGTTCGGTAGATTGCCAATAGGGGTAAATGTAGCATTGCTATAGTCTAAGCACATAAGAACTACATAAATCATTGACAAAGAAATTTCAGCTTAATACCGATTTAATGCAGCAAATGAACTGTCCAAGGATAACTGAGATGATATTTCAGTGCATCATAGAACTTTATTCAATAAAAGTGCTTCTTCAGAGAGGTCATAGACCTCTTACAATGTCACCACCTTGTCATGAATCACACAGTGCATCTTGACGGCGAATGTAAGATGTCACCAAGAATGCTCAGCTCAGCCCCTTAATATTGAACCTTGAACTTTAAATAACCCCACAGGAAAGCGTCACCTGGGATTAGATACGGGAAATTAAGCATATGACACTTTCTTCTGTAAAATTATGGCGCAACAGCCACTGCACCTACACTCTGCCATGATGCTCACATAACAGTAATCTGACACAGCAGCTACATAACAACCTGCATAACAGTTACCTGATACAGCAGCTCCCTCTGCTGCAGCTGCGGATTGACAGAACTGGTCAGCATATCATGATATATTTGAATGATAACGGTGCAGGAGTATGATGCTGTTCAGTTACCATGCAACGGAACCAATCAAATATCGCTTTTTGGGAGAACATTCCTCTAAAAGGACCATCTTAAGTATAATCCTGTTAGAGCAATGTTCTCAAAAAAGAACAGTCTGCTGAAGCCAAGCGAAGCGAGGAATCTTAGTGAATGCTATGGAATTTCCTGAACTGCATGGAAATGTTCGGATGTCCAAATGTGAGTGTCAACAATCCCATTACCCCATAAAATTCTCCAAAGCCAAGCATCGTCGATCTCCAACTTGGCAAGAAATGTCGGAGCAAATTGCTACCCGTTTACCATATTCTTTACGTTTTAATTCCCGCGAGGCTTAACTTCTACGGATAGAAGTGAAGAACAATCCAGAAGATTTGCCATATCGTTAAAAGATTCAAGTCTGATTGTCGCACTGTTCCCCGGGCACTGCTATCAGTAATGGTTCCATTGGAATCGCCACGTCAGTAACTGTCTGTTCTAATACTGGTTTCCGGCCTCTGGCAAACCGAATTGCTAAGTGTCCTGTTTCATCAAACGTCTGAATCATGCCTTTCCGTGCACTGATAAAGGGCCTTCACATAGGTTTGTTACGACTTCTAAACTCGCAAAGAGCCCGATCGATTGATGAAGATAAAACAACTTCACAAGTAAGGAGGGCTGAGATAAAGTGAGAAACTGAATTATGACGCTGCTGTCACGTAACCGAACATTTGTACTTTTGCGTTTGATGCAAATTTTCAGTTGCGTGGACTAGAACAGCGCCCCATGTTTCCCTATCGGAAGTCTTCGGGACTTTTTTTTTCGGAATCATTTTTCCCATGTCGTTATTAGTCCCCTACAAAATTTGGAGGTATTCCGTATTCCAGCTTAGAGATCTAGCTAGCAATTAAAAAAGAAAAAAAAATATTTTGAACTATTTCAATGAGGTAAAATAAAAGTTCAAACTTTTAAGAAGTGCAGTTGTCGTTTTTAAATCATTCAGTTTGTTCCGCAAATACAGATTAATTAAATTTTTAAACTAAATGAAAAATCTTAGACACAAACGGCAAAGCTCTGAAAACTAAAGAGTTAAATTAATGCTCTTAACTTCCCGCGCAGTGGCCGCTCTTACCATATGTCGTACTTGCTAGATGTGTTGGAAAGTAACATAACGTAATGAAGTAAAGTCCAATAAATTCTGAAAAGCGTCTGCAATGTAGTTTCTAATACCATTCTAAAACCATAGTACTAAGGGTCATTCCACAAGTAACTAAAAACTAGTTTTTCCTTCCTTTATAGAAAAAAAAATACTCTAAAAGAAATTAAAACCCTGTGCGTGATCATTCATAATGAAGTTCCAGACCATAATGCAGTCGCAAATTAAATGATAAACTTTTCGTGTAACTTGTACTGTAATCAAGAACTGATGCATAAGATACACGGAAAACATAGTTAAGGTTGTTTTAGCAGGAAGATTGTTTATCAGTACGTTTAATCTATTAATTTATAAAAACTACTTAGTTCATTTGCTTTAAGTTGTAACGGAGTGTAGAGTTTTGTGGCGTTTCCCTTAGAAACACGCAAAACGTTATGTTCTGTTAACTTACATGAGGTTTTTATTTCATCACGAAATGATTGGTTTCTGATTTATCACCCTTTAACGCTTCTTAATTACATAAAGTAAATACCAGTATTGATGGCAAAACTCGTAATGCGCAGAGATTTTATCGCTGAGGGAAAAAAAAAGGGCCAAAATTAATGAGTATGTCATAGACTACATCTGGAAATTCCGCAGTCTGGAATTTATTTGTACGATATTTTCTTGACTTTTTTTAGCTCTAAGCTTTATTTCTAGGTTTTACTGTTTCAATGTCATGGAGGTAGGAAAGGGAAAACTTCTTACTTCCTACCTCCATGTTCAACGTCATTCGAGCTTGTTCACCGCTCCCTGCTTTGCTAGCAATGATATGTCAGCCTGCGCTTGTAGTTCCTCCTAGTTTGCTAAAGAAACAACAAAAGAGAGATTTAAAGAATGACTGTGGTGCTTCTAACACCAGTATACATCCAAACACTGAATAGCTGCGCAAAGTCCGCAAATTCATCATTGATAGAGTACTATCACTATTTATTACATTTTAACTAATTGTCCATACTTTATCAGCTTTGAATCATTAAAAAAAGTATTTTTTATTAACTTAATTATTTATATATCAATATAAAGTTAAATTTTAATTAATTGTATATTTTAAATGTACTTATACTGGTAGCAATATATGCTAAAAAATTGCTTTTGTAAGAGACAAGAGTCGTTGCGGAACGTTGAAATTTATAAAAGTCTCCACTTAAAAAATAAATTGAAAAACGTTGAAATAATCCATCCAATACTTAAACTAACACTACTGTTTAAACTGTTTCGATAAGCTTTATCTAAACGCAATAATTAAGCTGCAGCTGTTTTTTTTTAACCCCATCTCCTTCCCGAAATTTTTAATGGTAAATTTTTATCTGATGTACTAAGAAGAAATCGCACCATCTGAAACTTCTTTCGTGCGTTTTCCCTTTCCGAATTAATTCATAGTATTGAAAAAATTAATTATCAGATAAATACTTTTTAAGTTTTCCTTATAATCTTTGTATCTACATTAGACGCTAATTAACATTTAAATTATGATCTAATCTTATTAATATCAGATAATTAGTAAACTAATACCTTTACTAACAGATTATAAAAGCCTTGAATGGATCCTAATCATTATGCAAATCGATAATCACCACCCCTGATGATTTCGTTCTCTAAGATATAGGATTCTTTCTCCGCTGAACAGAGGACTAAAATTGTTTGGAAACATCGCTGATCATCGTACAAAGATTTTATTCTGTGTAATAATGTTTAGCGTTTGTTTGAAAGTAACTTGGATTTTTTTTTCCTTTATTACAGTAATTTTTCCACGATTTTTTTTTTTAGGGTATCTATCTACCGTATAAATATACAGCTGCATTAAATATTGACCATTTTGTGCTGACCAATACTCTTAAATAAAGGAGAACTTTTACATAAGTAAAAACAACGTAAGACCATCACATTTAGAAATATGCGTTCGAATTCTCCTTCGAAACTATGCATGAAAAAAAATCTCCTCACAAAATCAACTTGCATATAATAGCTTCCTATACTTGCCAAGGTAACACAAGGACAAGGATGGCAGCAAAGATAAACAGAATATTATTATGTCTTTAGGCGCCCAGGTTGCCAAGGCAGAATAATATTTACGGTTTCCCATGAAGCTCGATCTTTCGCCAAAAATGTAGGAAAATCATCGCTTGGCGTGATTTTTCTCCGCTTGGCGTAACCTGGCAGTATTGTCTTTTTCGGTGATAGGCGACGAGGAGGAAAACACCGGCGAACCACCTGTTGCGCAAATCGTGACGTAAAGTGTCTCATCCAAAAGCGCAGTTACGTTGTTAGTCGATCAGGTGTCCGTCGAATTATTCTCTTCATTCATGCGCGTACGTGCTGCTGAGTGAAGAACTGTTGGTTAATCGTCATGAAGGGCTATAAGCGTTTCATCCAGCACCAGCGCAGGTGAAATTGGTTTCATCAAGAACTGTTTTGTTGTTCATCTGGGCTGGAATTAATATGGGTTGCTGTGGATGTACATTAGCCACCTCAACTGTTACAGCTGTCGTACTTGGCCTGGTGAGTCACCATCTGTTTTCAGACTTTTTTCTTCTTGTTTTATGCCGCACAATGGTCAAGTCATTCTTCTACAGTCGGAGTTGTTTTCAACTATTTTTAAACTCTCGCGGTATACCCAAGGCCAGATATGCAAAAATGAAGATCCGGGGCAAAATCTGTTATGAAGGGACGATTCTTTTCTACTTCATTTCGATAGTTTTTCCGGGAAATACTTTTCTAATTTAATATCTTTTCATTTAAATTTGTTTAAGCAAAAAAACTGCATTTCACCTTCCTATTTGCATACCTTAGCAGTTCCAGTTTTTTGTGTGTTGTATAAAATCTAAATGCATGTATTTTACGTAATGCATTTTCCCCCTAACGAAAAAACTGCAATAAAAAGAAAAGGAGAAAAAAAAAATTCGTGCTGATTTTATTACAAACTTGTAATAATAATACCGCGCTTGTAATAATAATATTTTTTTTTAATCTGAAAGGTTTCAGATTTTAAATTACGTCCAAAGGGGCGTTTTTTTAACGTTTTGTAAATTACCTTTATGTATTAAATATCATATTCTACGTACTCAAACTATAAAATTCAATTCAACAGCATGCATTATCGCAAATAAATTTTAAAATGAGCATATTTTTAGAATTTCCGGTACAGAGTCTCGCGCGTTGGAGATAAAAATGTTTTTTTTCGTACAGTGTTGCCATTGCTCGCTTTGAAATTGTTAAGTTTTTTAATAAAAAATTCGTTGTTACAAAATATGAAATCGGTAATAAAACAAATTTCAAATCCAAATTAGGGCTTCCGCATGCCCATATTGTATAGAAGATTACGTTATTCAAATTTTGATGGTTCTAGGTCCCCTTGTTTTATCACAATGGGAGAAACATACATACATTAATGCAGATTCTTCGTTATTTAATTTCTTTAAATATAAGACAGGGTGATAATATCTGGTAGCAGCGATTTGAAAAGTGATACAGCCTTTTAAAGTTTTCATCGCAAAATACCAATCCTTCAGGAGGGTAAATTGCTCCTTTGTACTAAAAACCCTGGTGTTCAGTATAACATATAACCTTTACATTTGGTAGTCACACTAGTCTGGGAAAATTAGCGTTGGTTTACAAATCAAATAAATGCCTTCCTACCCTTGCCAATGAAAGTTTAGGCAAAGTTTATGAAATTTTTCTCATCAATTTTTAAGTTCTAAAATTTTTAAGGAACACTAAAGTAAATTCGGGTTTTTAGTTACAATAAATGATAATATTAAGTAAACAAAATTAACATTTATTCCAGTTTTATATAACACCTATAAAAACGTTTTTCATTTTTTAATTTTTCAAAAAATGATACATAAAACTAATTAAATGAAACCAACAACACAAAAATATTTAATTTTTTAACAATTTAAATGTGTTTTGGGTCTTCGAAATGCCAATTATTTTAATGTAACGCGCAATGCTAAAATCCTGAATTTTTATATCAGGTGCAACATCAAGTCGCACAAGTCGGTTTCTATATATCAACGCAAGTCGGTTTCTATATCTGGATTTGGTTGCAAAGTGGCGTGAAACATTTGGCTCGCATAAATTTGTTGGCGCAAAAGGAAGTCAAATAGAGCAACTTGTTTTGATATATTTGGATATTCTTCTGACAAACTTATCTAAAATTCGTTTAACAGTAGAATTTAAATTTTTTTTATGCCAAAATCTATTGTCAATTACCTCAATGTTCGTACTTTTTCTCAGAATACTTAATGACTATTTGCGGAACACGGTCTAGAAAACGCTAGTTTAAGACGATGGAATAATGTTTCATTTTTAAAGACGGACATAAAAAATAAGAATTTTTCTTGCTTCTAGTTTTGTATTTTTAAAACCTAGAATTTTAAAAAAAGTTTAAAATATTACATATTTTAAATGAAGCAGAAGGTACATTTCGGGGGGGAGGGACAATTTTATACCTCCCGTACTACTAGGTTGATTGATAAAATTCAAATTGCGTTTTTCATGTCTCGTAACCGCGATTTAGGATATATATTAGATTTATATATAGCATTGTTCTAATATAGGTATTTTGACACAAAATCCGACTTTTTTGAAATAACATACTTTTTTTTCATATTTCGATTCTACGACTCAAATTATGCCTAGATATTAAATTTTGTAAAATTTGGTGCGAAATTTACGTAGAAATTCAAAAATTTATCTTGGGACAATTTTTTCAGTTTGCGCCAAGAATAATTCACTTCTTAATATTATGGCAACCAATTTTCTTTTCCCTTCCATTATGCCGGAGCGGAAAAAAAGGCACCCCGTTCCTATTTTTTTACATTGGGCATGAGCGGAAAAAAGTGACATCGTCCTAACTTTCAAATAATTTTCGCAAAGTGTCTAAACCACATTTGATGTTTTATCGCTTTCAACAAATATGCGGAATTTCAAAACGCTCCAATATATAAATTCACGTATATCTTCGGAAATTTTGAATAAAAAAACTAATTTTTACCAGGTATGCTTAGAAATACGTTTTCTTTAAGATGATGGTAATTTTTTTATAGATTATCAATTTTTTTAATTTATAAAAATTATTTAAAAATACAAATTTTAAAAATAAATCATTAAAATTGGGTGAATTTTATTTGGAATGAACCTGAATTTCAAAATGTGAAAGGAAGAATTAAATAAGTTTAATAAAACAAGAAAGATTAATAAATATATACCAAACTCGATTAATATTGAGGAGCTAAAATTTTGAGAGCTAATTTTTTAAAAACTACTCGTGCGATTTGTACAAAACTTGGTAGTTTGGCGTAATTTGAGTCGTGACTCATAGGCAGTATGCTGTGACAGCTTATTTCAAGAATGCGGCTATCAGATGCGTAGTTTCACTTTTCATTCGAGTCTATTGCCATCCGATAAAATGCAAGATATTTATTTTTCAAACTAAAATTGTCAGTTATAGATTAACAAACTAAGCTATTTGAAGGTAATATATACAGTTCTTAAGAATATTCGTTTCTTACTTTTGAATCGAATCGATTTAAATAATAAAAATTCATTTAATTCATAATCTATCTGATAAAAAATATTCCGTGTTTTCATAGAACGACATTATTCATTTTTTATTTCATATTTTGTAAAACTTTAATAAATTTTTGATTAACAAACTCAAACGATTTGCAAATGAGCAGTGGCAACAGTGTACGGAACAAAACATTTTTATCTCCAGGGCTTGAGATATCTATCGAAAATTCTAAGGATATGCTGTTTTTAAATATTTAGCTGTTGTAACCGAATTTTATGTGGTACGAGTGTGAAGAATGTGATGTATATAAATAAACTTAACACCACAGAATATTAACAAAAAAAAGTTAATTTTTTTCGCTTGTAAGCCATCTTACTAAGAAAACTCAACATTAATAAAGGCTGTAAAAATATAGAAAACTATATGCCAACATTTAATACTGCATTTGGAATTCTAAACATATGCTGCTATTAAAATTGTCGCGATTTTGCTGTTGAAATGTATATGGCATAACTGCAAAGAAAACAAAGTTTAACTAAAAGGAGGGAATGTTAGCAGGAATGAGTGCAGCAGTAAACTGCAACTGAGCAAGAGTGTTAAAAAAAAAAAAAAAAAAAAAAAAAAAAAAAAAAAAAAAAAAAACCACCTTTTTGCGGGACCGTTAAAATGTGAAACATTTAAGATTTTAGTTCCCCTGGTAGGTATGTAAATTTCGCAAATGTGATTAAATGACTTCTAATTTTTTATATCAAAGTGGGGGGGGGAATGTTTTTTTAATTAAATGTAAATTATTTTATCGTATTGTTTCTTTCCTATCACTGAAATTTTGCAGAATTACTTTCTGCTCAGTAACAACTGAATAACGTACTATATTGAAGTACAATCCTTTAAACATTCATACAATACGTTTAAAATTCTAGAATTTGAAACGAAATTCATAAATAATTCGTCTGTGAGAAGCCGCCGTATGGCTTGGTGACAGGGAAACCGGTATCACAGTTTGAATCCCGGAGGACATTTATAACTATACAGCGTCTTTGTGGCATAAGGAAACTTAAAATACTGTCGAGCAGAAAGGAGAAACTATTAATGGTAAGGGAAGAGGGATAGGAAACTTTTATATCCTTTCCCAAGCTATTCGCAATCAAAACTGGGTTGGTTTTTGGTTTATTACACTATGGCAAAACATACTAGGACTATCTACCTAGGGAAAGAGATGGCTTTGTAAAGGACTTTTGAAGAAACACTGGCTCATATCCATGTTATGCACGTTGAAAACCACCCGTGCAGTGAGTCCGTTCTCGTAGCATCTAACCTACGTCAAACTACCAGTGTTCAGCGAATTTACCGCTTGGTCACTTTATCAAGACTTTAAAGGAGCTTTGCTAACTCGTACTTTCAGTTATTAAGCCCCCAGAGCTTGACTAACGATAGGCACAAACCTCTCTCTCTTGGCAACGATTGTTCCGTGGGCTTGATGCAGATTATGTTCAGATCCGGAAAATTAATCACGTGGATTTGTCCACTTAACTATGCATTAATTTCCTATATTTGTTGGAGTAAACATATGTAAACTGCTATTCTAAATGCTTATTTATGTTAATATTGTCTTTTCGTGAACATTATCTACTGTGTTTTAACATGTATACCCATTTCATACCTTATTCTCCACACTCTAAAATTATCTTCTGAAAGATTATTCATTTCGCATTTAGTGTTTAATTTTTACTGCCATAGTCCTCTCTCTGTGAAAGGCCCACCAGCAGCCGAGCGATAAAGTCGCTGAGCACTGGTAGTTTGACCCGGGTACGAATTCCGGAGAACGGGTATGAGATTTTTCGTGGTCTTTCCCATGCGCATTTGAAAGCTGAAAACGTGCCTGTTTGTGCAAACTGTGATGTTTGTCTCTCAGTATATCACATTTTAATTGAATGTCCATATTTTAATAGTCTTCGTGAGAAGTATTTTAATAGCTGCGACCTGC